TCATGGGTTATGAAGGACTACAGAAATAACGCGAAATGTGAGTACTGAGATACTGGGAATAACACAAGTTAGTTTATTCAACCATAGTCATTATTTTAATTACATAAACCAAAAAGAAAGATGCTTTTAAACAATAATGTCCGACTTTGTTGTTGGTTTATTTAGGGTTCTGAATCAGATTTTCTAGTTGGAAAAGGAGCTTTTTGGGACTTTTTGCACTGGACTATGCAAATTGCAAATTATCATCGAATGTGATGAAATCTAGTTATGTTCGAGGGCCTTTACTTATTTCTTTAGAGATAAACCAAGTGCATTATGTTCGCATTGGTTTTGAATATTTGTTGAAGTTATCATATAAAACAACGGCTTCACACTGCCATACTTAACAGCTAAATGATCCATACTGCCTATAAATGGTGTGTGAAATAGAGATGATTATACCTTGTATGTTAATGTACGCATGTAATTATGATAAAGGAATAGTATGCTAATAACATTCATTGCGATAAGTTATCTTAATAATGCGGACGTAAGGATCATTTTCATATTTAAAAAGGAAATGTTTTCAATTTTTGGAAAATAGGTTTAAGCTTCAGTTCGCATGTAAAAACGCTTTCAAAATACTTCAGAAATAAGGCATATAAGGTTCTACGTAAAAAAATATGTGGATGGTGTTTGATTCTGTTTTGCACAAACTACAGATCCGATTTGAATGGAGTTTATTACATCATCATCGTTATAAATATAAATAAAAGCGCGGAACTTTAATATAATATCATATCTACACTATTATACCGATGCAAACAATTTCTGCGATCACCAGTGGCATATAAAAGAAGCCAATATTTTTTGTTATTTTTAAGGAAAATGATTAGAGTATGTGTGATAATGAGTGAATTTGATGAAGAGGTGTTCAAGAGCTTCATAACACGTCAATTTTATAGATGACAAAGTAGCATGGTATGCGTCAGTTAGTAAACATTCACACCGCAAGTTTTTGTCACTCCATTGTCAAACGTGGACCATTGTTTCTGTCTAAGTGGCTGCACTTACTTGTACATATTATTGTCATAATTATGTACCTACACTTTAATGTCCAATGAACTTTTATTCGTACTTTATACAGACAAATTAGTAACGGAACAAAACGTGAACACCTTTCAGAGGGTAAATTATTGCCAATTTCTAAATTCGTCTTCGTATTTTGTGACCGCAAAAATTGGTTAAAGGGGATATTGATGGAATAGATTTGTCTGTCTTTTTGTCAACTAATTTGAGTTTGAAACAATAGACCATTTTGGTCCAAGGAAAACTGATGAAAATCAGTCAAATCTCCCTAGAAGCCCATCCATTACCCAATACACTTTAAACCTGATCATCACTACATAGTATAAAACAAAGCGCTACCCGCCATCTGTCTGTCCCTATGTATGCTTAGATGTTTAAACTAAGCAACGGATTTTGATGCGGTTTCTTTAAATAGATAGAGTGATTCTTAAGGAAGGTTTATATGTATAATACATGCATATTGCACCCGTGCGAAGCCGGGGAGGGTCGCTAGTAACCTATAAAGTTAAGCTATACAAGAAATGCTTAACAAAAACTTATCATTCCCATGCTGTTTTTGCGACGATGCGTACGCGCATTGTTTGCAACCATTGTTTATCCGTATCTGTTGCACAATGAACTCTATCTGTCGCCTCGACTTGGCGCATTGTTCGATTGATAAAAACGTTTTACGAAGAAAGGGAATGTTGAGCTGATATTCAATATGATAAGTGGCTTTGGTAGTATTCCACAGGTAATTAAGACTTGCGAAATTGGTCTAGAATTTAAGACTTTATAAATTCTTTGTCGATTATGGTGGCAAGACTGTGTAATTTGACTGGGCTAGTTTAATTAACAGATACAGCAGACTAAGCAGGAGCAGACTAAGCAGAAGATAGTGCACAAGTATGTGTTCAAGGATAGGTGTACTCTCTGTTCCTTCTTTGTTCATAATTTGGTACTTTTGAAACATCAACAAATACAAAATAAATAATAGTCTGTCAGTCAGTCAGTACGTTAGTGAAGCTAGGTGAATCTAGAAGCTCATTCCAAAATATAGATTCGAATGGAGAAGAATGAGCAAGAAAATCGCATAAGTTTAGTATTGACACTGCTTATGTGTGCTATTTTTTTAGAATGGATGCCCTTCACTTTTTAATCTATAATGGTGCATTATTGCTGACATAAAACGGTTTTCAAAAATAGTCAGAAAGGATATTCTACCTCACATTGTTAGTAAAATCTATTTACATATAAAATAAGAGAATTATATCATGTTAATTGAGGAAAACACATTAAAACTAAAAAGGGCATAACAATACAAACAGAAACAAGAATATCCTAGTAACCAGGAAAATAAACATCTATATAATGTTATTAGTACATAATAATATTATTACTAAACCACACAAATAAGTAAACAGTGATAACTATACTAACAACTTGCCACAGTACTCAGATAAATAACAAAATATGTGACAGTTAGAAAAATAGACTTTACTAAGATGAGATAAAGCAGGAATTTGTAGTACTCACTTTAGATTAGTTGCTTACTACATGGCATTGTTGTGTACCTCTTTGGTATTAGTTAAAACTTAAAGATAATATAATACAAGGGCAGTCATTTAACAAAGTTACTACCTATTTTGTTAAAACATATTTATTTTGGACCAATAAGGCTAGTCTAGTCATTTCATATAAATAAATATGGCCACATTATTTAAGCAATTAGTTATAATATTTTTATTAATAAAAACAAACCTAAAGAATATTGCGAAAAACACTATAACAACAAGCATTAAAGTACATAATAATAATATTGCAATATTAGCAGCTCAAGCTAAATTTAAAAAAAATTTTTGATAACTTAATTCTTTAGAAGAAAGTTAGGTGAATGACCGATGAAGCACCTATAACACAAACCGTAAGAGTAGTCCACCAAACCGAAAAACACTCATAATATTGTACTTATAAATGAAATGTCAGACACATACATTCACAACACTGACTCATACACTTTCAACGGACTATCTCCGCTAACAGTTAAAAAACGAAACAATCTTTATTACACTGATTATCATATTACCAGCGCAGATACAGACAATGTATCACAGTAATTATACACTAATTTGTGATCAATTAACATTCATAATTATAATGAAACTGTACAAATTAAATACTTATTACATTCTTAGATTTTCGTTTCTAGGATGAAGGATAAATAAATATTGTGAATATCTTTGAGTGAAGCAGGAGGACGGAGGATGTAATAAAAAGGTTGCAGGAAGCATGCAGGTTGCTTCAAATTTGCTGATCTAGAAGTCATTTGAGGAAGCCTACGTTCAGCATTGAATGTCTTGTTGCAGTTGTAGCCTATATGATGAGGATAAATTGAGATTAAATATGGACATTGAATAACTAGTCTTTGTAGAAACTACAGGTTTTTAGAAGTCAGAATTCTGTTAACAAGTTTAACTAATATCAATCGTAAATCAACTGTGAGATGTGTAGGGTACAACACAGTTGGTTCATATTAAGGGTGTTTTTAATATCGTGCGGATTTCGTCACGCGTGCGGTATTGCCCCGCATGCAGACCCCGCGCGGTGCTGCTGCCCTCGCGTCCCGCGTCCGTATTCCACGCATTATAATAAATACTTTTATGAAAAGGACATTTGCGGGGCTTACGCATGCGGGGCAATCCCGCACGCGTGATGATATCCGCACGATATTAAAAACACACTTATTACTGTGTTGACATCTAACCAATTAGTATATAATTGGATAAAATTTATTGCCTATTTTCCTTAATAAAGTTCCCAAATAAAGTAGGAAATTAAAGCTTTAATGGAAACATAAATCCCAAGTGTTCAGGATACACCCATTGAGTCAGAACTTGATTAGATAATGAATTACATTACTATTCACAAAATACATGCATCAGCCATTGATAACGCAATCTATTACTGATTTCCAGCTAGGATTACCAAAATCACCTTAAAAATTTAAGATTTCTGGATAAAATTGTATTGTGTGCAAGGAAACTGAAGCATTTTTTATTATAATATCAATAAAGTTTTACGTAAAAAAGGTATTTCGATACAGTTGCCAATTAAACGTAAATATTTGTGTGTAATTAACATTCCAGATGTAATTTAAATTCATATGACTTGATAGACCCAAGGACTAACAAAATAAATGCGAGGAATAATTGTTTAAAATAAAAATAAAAATTAAATAAAACTAACCCATTTTATATTCAGCGATAAATTTAGGGCTCCTGTTGACCACATGAGACCACAAACACATAATGCATAAGGATAAAATTCAAGGAGTTTTTAATGAAAATTCTCGTCTTAGACATCATAATATGTATGAAGAATCCCCAATGAAATGTGTATAGTAAATTAATATAAGGCAATAGAGTTAGGTACAGGTGGTATGTAGTAAGTTTTTGATGTAATCTTATCAGGAAGGAATTACTTTGGATAAAAATAAATAGATTAAGAGATTATCCTTGATCTCATCACACACATTCCTGAGACTGACAATATAGAAGGATTTAACTGAACTTTAGTATTAAACAAAATCTATTTGACTTTCCATTGAGTATTTTGGTATGGTAACTTGAGACCACATTATAGTAGATTGATAACTATAATAAGATGATTTTTATGTTTTAGGCCTGAATAATAGTTTATCTACTAGAATCTCTCTACCAATATAAATAGTCTTAAGTTTATATGTCCTAATTCAACAAGAAAACTTTTAAAATAATACTTTCTCAGCATTAAATACACGAAATATGTCCAGAAGTAGTTATTTATAAATCAGCAAGGCATGACTAAGCGTCTCAATATAATATTTTCAGTGTTATATTAAGAGTAATCTAGCAAATATTTTTTACAATTCACTCTGTGAGAAAACAGTCTAGTGTTCAATGAAATAAACTCACCTTATTGTGTGGCAGTACTATGAAGGCGCCTCCGCCGGCGGACTCGACGATTATAGCCAGAAACTTAGGATTCACCGCACAGAAAGTAGAGTCCCAAGAACTTTTTGACACTCTTATATTATCATAACATTGCTCACGTTTCAGGGCCTGCCCGTAAACGTGGCGGAATTTAGAACTGCGCACCACCCTAAACGACATCTGTAACGCGAAAAGTAACCAGTTAACAACAATACAAACAACAACTATCCGATTATTTCACTTCTAACATAACCTATACACCACTATGACCTATATTTTGACACTACAATTTCAAAAGAACTTAAACTCACGTTTAATTATATAGAAGAAAATATTATTAATTCACTAGAAAATGCAATGAAAACATTTGAATATAACACAATTGTTTAAAAGAAAATAAAACTGAGAGCTACTAAGGATCGAAGGGAGGACGGTTGGGAAAACGAGCAAACTCCATATTTGGTAATGCCTGCAGTCACTACTTTTAGTGATGATAATCTCGCTCTATATGTTCAAAATAATATTGTAATGGATGTGTGCGACGGTAGAAATAATTGATGAATCATTTAAGTGCTTTAAATAATTATTTTACATAGTTTAAAGCTAATTTTTAATTTACTTTTATTCTGACGATTCGTTATTTTTGAACGCGACTCTCAAACGTCAAATTGCTGTCAAAATAAGCTTCTAACGGATGCGATCGTAATTATATTTTTTGCATCAATTACCATAAAAACTTAGATCCTTTGCAAGCAATTGTGTTTATTTCATAAAATACTCACTTTGGGCACTTCGATGCGAGATTTTTCAGAATTTTTGGTTGCTTTTGGTGTCTGAGCATGGTAACTGTGACAGCGTTCTCTTCCAACTCGTTTAGCCACGGGGGCTCTTTTAATATTCGGACTTGTGAAACTGTTATGTCTTTTAACATTTTCCTGAAAAGAGAAATAAGAATCATTGTTTTACGAACAACTTAAATCTTGACAAATGAAACTAAATTATGGATAGATTTCGGTTTGATATTCGATTGATTCAAAACTTATTTACCCTGTCCTCTGCGTCCACTTCCATTGTTGTGAAAAATTATTATAATTTGTATAAATATATTCAAGAAGATTCACTTATAAGCTTCTGATACTCAAGTTAAATGAATTAAACTAAAACAATGAAGGTAGTTGCTGAAAATGGAGTAAAAGTGTAAGTTTTTGAAATACCTACTTTTAATTTTGTTTTCTTTTTCTAAACTTAATCACAATTTATGTAAAGTTAATAACAATAATTAATGATTCCGTGATTTATAAAATAGTAAATTGAAAAAGTTTGTTAATAACTTTTAGTGTGCGGACTGCACCTTTTCTCTTGACATTTAATTTGACACATGGTGACTGACGGAAAATGTCACTATTTTAATCTGTGGTAGTTCTAGTAAATAGAAAGAAGAATCGTGGAAATTGACGATTGCCGAAAAATTGTGAAAATTATTCGATTAAATTTATTTTCGGATAGTAAACCGTATAAATTAAAATGTTTTAATTCCATTTTACCTCGTAAAGTGATATTTTAAAGCATTTACTATGGATGCTGCAGTTTCAAAGGTAAGATTTGAGTGACTTTTTTAAATTTTGAATTGCTCTATTTTCTGCTATTTGAGCGCATTTAAAGATTTGCGAAGTAATAAATCAAAATTAAATTCAACGAACATTCTTAACGCTATTTGTGTGCAGTTCTACTATAAATAAACAAACTACGGTGTTTATTGAAATTTAGAATAATCTGAAATTTATTTTTGTTTTATTTTCAAAATGATCGAAGGTACAATAAAACTTTTCGCTATGCAGTTTATAGGAATATTGGAATTATATTGATGATGACCCTTTCATTGAAATAGTGGTATTAAAACTCTTAACCCTGCCACAAAAAATGGATTTTGGCATATTCTTTATAATTTATGGGCCAATGTTTATTTTATTTACCATAAACATTTTTGTAGGCCAAGGTTGGGACCTCTTTAGTAGATGTACTAGTTTATTAGACCAAGGCATTAGACAGCCATATAATGTTTGTGATGTCACTCAATAAGGTGTTTTGTAATATTTACATCACCTCAAGTGGCTTATGTAAATGTCCTACATATTATGTATGTCTGTTTTTTAAATTTTGAATTTGGGTGCTCATTTCTCAGGTTGAGTATGATATTTGAGATACAATGATGTCACTATTTATGAGAATTTTGGATATATTTGCAACATGAGAAAAATGTTTATTTATAAAAAAAAAATCATGTGAATTTGTTCAGAAGCATTATATTTTTAAGTTATTATCTTCCACTGTTTCAATTTGAATCTTAACTATCTCATACCAATTTATTCTGACTCTAAAAAATGTTTTATTACTTTTTTTTAGATGTAATCTATTTTAATATGTTGATCAAGCAAAATTAAAATATTTCTTTACTGTTACCAGTAGTCTATCTCTTATTTTAAATAAAATCTGTTTAGATAATATATATTAAGTTCAAATTGAGTGCAAAACAATGGGTTCCAATGTCAAGTGCAAGATAATAGATAACATATTAACCCAATTCATAATATTTGTTATTTTGAAAAACATGATGAGGCACAAATTTTTATATCAATGTAGATAATTATTCTATTTATAACATTGCACTTCTTAATTTTGTTTCCAATTTCACATATCACTCAAACCTAGAATAACATATTTTGGATCACATATAGTGTTGTCCTGTGTAGGAATGGCACCTGCAACATGTTGCATAGTTTTAATATTATCATCATCATCAACAGCCTATAAATACCCACTACTAAGCAAAGCCTCTTCACACATGAAGAAGGTTTGAGCATTAATCACCACACTTGCTCAATACATGCAGTGGCAGTGTTAATATAAATAAATATACATATTCATAATAGTATTAATGAATATTTATGTACAGATGTGAACACTATGACCAGGTGTACACATTGATGTCTCATTTCCTATTATGTAAATATTTAAATAAACAAATCTATCATAATGTAATAATGGTGAAGAGTTAATTACAAATAAGAAACAGCTATTGATACTGGAACACCAATTTACATAAACTTTTTGTACCAATGAGATCATAGCATAATAACAAGGCATTATTACTATTAAAAATGTATTTTAAGGAAATTCTTAGGAATTTTGAATAATATCATCTAATCTAGCATTGTGTCTCGTACAAGGCAATCGGCTATTTGCTTATCAACTGGTATAGGGGACATAAACCATAACTAGAAACAAATAAGAGTTACATTGAGCTGTTACACTAGTCTTATCCTTCAGACGTTTGTGGATTAAAGTAAATTGATAACATGTTATGAATAAGAGTTTCCACAAATAGAATCTAATTACAACATTATTGTTTGTATATTGTCCATAAAATTGCAATCTTAATGTAGAGTTTAGTATGCATTCCACAATATCCAAGGCTAGTATTGAAGCGCATAATTACAATTTACATTTTCGTTGATCATTTAGCACAGCAATTTATGATTGAAAAATTTTTAGTGCCCACAGGTGATTTGTTCAATTTTGCCTTATCTCAGCTAATAATCATAATTGCTTCTATTTTTCTGTGTTTTCCTGTCATTAGAATGATAAATGGCTAATGTAGGCGGATTTTTTAATTTCTATTATTCTACTTTATTGTACAATAATTCGAGTTGTTTACAAGTCTTTGGATTTTTAAAATCTTTTGAAATTCATGTTTAGTTTAACCTTTATTAAACAATAGGTTTCTGTGGGATAATCAAAATACAATTAAATTACAAAGTAGCTATGGTAAGTATTTTTTGTATAATTTTTTTAATATTTATCTACCAAGCATACCAACATGCTTTCGTCTTGATTTCAAAAGAATTAAACTATGTAGGCACAGCCATTATTAATTAGGTACATTAGGTCCAAGTGTTATATAAAATGAACCATATTTCTCAAATGTCAAGTTTCTAACTTCCCTTTTTCTTATCTAATCTTTACAATATAAATCTGAATTTCTATTAGCAATAGAGAATTAGAGATAACGAGAAATCCTTATCTTGGTGGCCATAAATTGTTATCAATGTTATTTACATTTTATGGTGAAATGGGCCTTAGTTTCGTAAGTTATGGTTTACAATCAATTGACTATTACTCTTTATGAAAACCACTGAGGATAAAAGGTTTGGGCCACATCTTGTTCCTTTTACTGCCCTATTGGTACCTTCCCTTTTTTGGTAAACTCGGAAGGCTTCCACGGTATGTTCATAGGCTTCGTTTACCGAACTTCGGTAACTCCTTTCTTTCAGACAGTTGAGCCGCAAACCAGTTGTAAGTCGCGGAGAACCTAACACTGCCAAACTAACCTCGAAGTGCAGGAGAAGCAACGGGGTGGTTTTGAGTCAGTAAGAGTCTGACTCCTTCCGCCTCACCCAGGCGGGAGAAGTCATTCGTTGATTTTCGCCCCTTAAAGCTTGCTCCTTTTCAAAAGGTTGACCACGCATCTGTAGCTTACTTGATGTGGTGTGGTGATGCGGGTGCCCATGAGCGACGTTAATCGCTTACCATTCGGCGACCTTTCAGCTCATTTATCTCCTTTTCCCATCTCATATGCTAAAACACGTTTGTCACACTTTGGAGCCGAACCTCTTAGCTTTATCAGTGTATGGATAGCTGTGCCTAATATCCTGAGACGCCTGTGTCTAGAAAAACACGTACGGTCTTAAAACAGTTCTTAAACAAACACTTTTAGCAGTCGTTACAGGTAGATAGGCAAGCAAGCCTGAAAGTCTAATAAATTGTCTCTGTAAATGTCGGGTGATGTCGCGGAGAACCTAACGGGTAACCGGGGCTCCGGCTCGACGTGCAGGAGAAGGAACGGGATGGTTTTTAGTCAGCAAGAGTCTGACACTCCCTCCCGCCTCACCGGGAGCAGTAATTCGATGATATTCCCCCCTTAAAAAAAATGTCGGGTGGTCCTCAGGGCCGTCTTACGACTACGCTGAGGCCCTTAGGCAGACAATAATTCGCGGCCCTTTTGGAATATGTATTTTAGTTTTTTTTAACCCAGACCCAAAACAATTTCTAGAGCACGCAAAGATTTTCTCCGTGCGGGAATCGAACCCGCTACAAGTTGAGCGGTTGTCGGTTGCCGCGCAACGTGTACCGGGTATGTGTTCGTCGTAGAAATTGTCGGTCTTTCGGCTCCCCTGAGGATGGGGGCCCTGGGCACGGACCCTGAGTGCCCTTATGATAAAGACGGTACTAGTGATCTTGTATGTATGTGTTGTTTAACAAGACTGAAAGTATGTTCTTTCAAAAGCTGCCACTTGGCTAATAAAAGTAATAAAAGCGACCTCTAACTGGCCTGTTAAATGTAGAGGGTTTGGAAAATCTATACAGTGCTATGAAATAATAACACAGATAATCTTCATAATGTAGGTATAGGCTCGGGCCATAATGTAATGCAGTTTTGATAATTCCATAGATTACCAAACGAGTAAAAATTACGGTTACTAACACTTGACACGGATTTCATCATTGCGCCTCAATTAAGTTTACAATACAAGATAAGCCAGTATTAAACGCATGTATGTATGTATAACGCGTGTTTGCCTTCGTAGTTAATTTCTTTGTATAACTAGGTCTTACATTTTGGTACAAATTGGACCCTTTTTCAGCCGTCCGCCCTGTCTTTGTATTACGACAAGGATTACAGAGTCGATCTAAGTCCCTTTCTAAAAGGCAGTATTTTCTGACTGATTTGATTATATGACCAGAACATTGTGTTTTTTTTTAAACTTTGTAATAAATAGACAGGCAAGTATTTTTTCTATATTGGATGTTTGAAGTAAGATAAGTGTGGGAGAGCCATGCCTCGGCACGAATTGGCCTGCTCCACTGGAGTGATACCACGGTCTTACAGAAAACCGACGTGAAACAACGCTTGCGTTGTGTTTTGTCGTGTGAGTGAGATTACCGGAGGCCCAGTTACCCCCCCTAATCCCGAATCCACCACAATCCTCAAATTCCCAATTCCCAAAAGGCCGGTGACGCACTTGTAACGCCTCTGGTGTTTTAGGTGTCCATGGGTGGCGCCGATTGCTTACCATCAGGTGATCCGTCTGCTTGTTTACCAGCTTATGCCATTAACTCGTCGAGTACCGGTTTTATAGACACAATTAAAGAACAATAGGTCGCGGTCACCGGTGACCGCTTGGTGTTTGACAGTTTAAAAAAAGAAAAGTACTTTAGTATGGGACCAGGTGTAAAAAAATGTTGCATTTAACAATTTAATTACAGCAAGGAGCTTAATAACATAGCAGGCGAAATGTGGGCCACATGTTTACTACATAAAAACGAGGCAGTAATATTTCAGATGTTATATGCACATTGCATCAAAAATAATAAAATATTCCAATGCAAGTCGCTCTATAACAAAAAGATAAGAACGCCAAAAAAAACTAAAACAACGAGAAGTTTGATAGTTTAAACAATGATATGCTTCAAAACAATCTTGTTCATCTTGTTTTCAAGTAGGCAGTGTGTAAACAAGTTATTTGATAAATAATATTGGTGTTATCAAGGCCGCCTGGTACACGTGTACTGAACAAGTTGTTTTTCAATTGTAATGTAATATCGGTAGGTGATATAATTAATGAATGAGTATTGCCATTTTAATGGCCTGTTTGATCGTCCTAATATTTTTTTAAATCTTAATGCTTGGCGTCGTCCTGTGATCTTCATTATCCCCTAATTTGATCGCTGGCAGATAATTCTTGAAGGCAAATCCTACCTATATCGCACCTATTACCGGTGTCTCTCAAGTCGTTTTGCAGATTAGATTTTTTTTATATCATCGAAGCTTCTAGTCTGTTACTGCTTTTTTTAAATACAGCGTCATACGCGGAGCACCTACACCCGTAAAAAATGCTTGCGCGGTGGTCATATATATTACTACTCTTCTCCCACAATCTATTTGATTAATTTCGCTGAAGGATTCAAGCCCCAAGACAGACTGATTATGTCCCTGGGATGCACCGTACTTCGTTTTCCGTTTGGCGTCACTGGAAATTTTGGCTTATACGGCCTGGACAGGCGACCTAATAAAAACAAAAACTGCGTTTAAAAAAAACGACTTCGAAAACCAAAACTAAAAAGCATACGTAGTAAAGTATTAGTCATACGTAGGTTACCCACCCACTGATAAGTGAGAAGTCGGTGCCACAAACCCAGACCTTTCCAACAAAAAAAAATCAAGAATTGATAACCTCCGTCTTTTTGGGAAGTCGGTTAAAAATAAGTTACTGAAAAAAAAAGAAAATAAATTGCGGTACATATTAAGTATCTAGTTTAGTACATATTAAGTATATATAGTAGGATCTACACGTTAAACCAATCAACCGACCATCGCTTGAACTCTACTATCAAACACAGAAATTTTTATTTTCATGGGCATTAACGACGTCAATCGTCATAGTTAGCATAAGTACCCAGTTCTACTACGACTTAATAACGGGTCAAGGATATATTTGGTAATATATCTACACTGATAAATATTCATCTACAAGTTATGAATATAAAGAAACATTAATGGAACCTTTATGCAAACACAATGCACGCATACAATACGCGTTATTAATCAAATAAAGACAGGCGAAGTACATTTCTGGGCTCGTTCACAAATCTGCGATGCGATGCGAATTCGCAACGCAAAAAATTACGATGCAAATTGCTGCGATGTGATATCGTGCGACAAGGCGTCTCCCTTAAAAATGTAATCGCATCGCAGCAATTCTATCTGAGCGTTTCTTATAATACTTATACAGAATTTTATACTTAAATTCTATTCTGTTATTGTAAACCGAGAATGATTAGTAACATGCGTAGTTTGTATATTGTTATAAATTATAATCCTGTAAGACTTTTTATCTGTGTTTTAATCGAACTAACCATTCAATGCAAATGCGACAATGTTCTTGTAACTCCTCTCGGGTTCCAAGCATCCATGGGCTAATTGCTTACCATCAGGAGATCCTTCTGCTCATTGGCACCCCATCCCATACAAAGTCTTGCCCTTGTCTTTAGCCTTAGGACTTGAAAGTATATTAAGCTAGTAGTAGGTAGTCCCTGAAGAAATTCCCAACTAGAAACTGTTGACCCAATTTCAAGTTTAATTACAGTAAAATAAATCTTCTAGAATTAACTGCTGCGAGAGCGGAATTGCTTTTTAGATCCCCCGTGGACGACTGGACGTGGTTGCAGAAAAACGACTGATTGAAATGGAAGTTTCTTTGATTACCTATAAATTGAGTTGCCGTATTTAACAGTTTCGTAAGACACATAAGTGTAAAAAATAAGTATGTTAGTTGGCGAAACAAATCCGACACTCATTTCTAACCTTACCAATGAATATGTATCATTATCCAATCCTACTCTTTCTTCTTTCTGTTTCATCTTCTTTCTTGCTTTCTACACAGCAAAACTGTAATGATCTGTCGTCGGCGATATTTCCGAACCGATACAACCTTCAAACCTTCAAGAAAGGAGCGTATTCCATTTTAAAAGTCCTGCAACGCACCTGTGGCTCCTCTGGTGTTGCGGGTGTCCATGGGCGGCGCTGATCGCTTACCATCAGGTGATCCGTCTGCTCATTTGCCTCCTATTCAATAAAGAAAACTCTCAGTACTTATTTGTGACCCATTGAACTTTTCGTTAAGATTTTATGGGCGCTGGGCGCCAACCTTAAATCCAAACACATAAAACTGAAATGTAATAGAATTTGCCATCAATCTCATAAACTAGAACAATGAATTTTCATTCCTCATTAATCAAACAAGTCCACTTCCACATACCACTCTACAATAGCCTTCCAATTCCAACATCAATACAAGTTCATTGAAGAAATTAATACAAGTTCGTAGCGATCGCACTTTAATATCACCTATTTGAGTTCGTTGTTGGGACCACAACTCATTTCGACGATAAATTTCTATGAGTCAGTCCGTCAGAGTCACACCATCGCATCGACCTGTCTGATGACGTCATGTCGCTTGTCATGCCCAAACGATGTAAATGTTAAGCGATGAACATTATTACCAGTTTTGTGACGTTTAGTATTAAGATGTTTATGTTAACTGGACTGTGGACAGTTAAACACTGTCGGTTTCGATGCTTTTGTAAACTTGTCGTAGTCTCTTTAGAAGCAATGCGAATTTATTTTGCATGTGAAGTATTTGGTATTGATTACCTGGGAATCGAATCTCTATTATGACTTGACTATTTCTATATCATACATGTTGAACATGAATAGGTTTATATACGACAGGAGTTAATTTTCCATTGGACTGTTTTTTTTTTATTTCGAATATATCCATCCTTGGAGCAATTTTTAATCTTTGAAGACTCTGTATCGGTTATTTGTATCCCTAACTTTACCTATTTACTTTTGCTTTTCTCTTTTTTATCTTTACTTATTAGAAAAAAGGCTTTAATCGCAAAGCGATGAATCTACTTATGCCTGACGGCGCATCTCATAGTACTTAAGTCCCTTTAAAGACAAAGATCTTTGCTTCGATAAAATATTCTAAAGGGGATCCTTAAGAGGATACGAGTGACACTTGATTGATAACAACGATACTGACCTTAGCAGTACTCTAAAGATAAATTGCGTAGTTTATAACTGACTAGACATTCTGTATGCAAATTACTGTTGTTATTACAGATCTTCTTTGCCTAAGTTGTGGCTAGGTGTTAGGAAACGACATGCTTTTTACAAGAAGATATTTTGGTAGTATTGAGACTGGCGGTATAAACAGCTACATAGAAACCTCCTTCTGTTCATAGTCGTAACATGCGATGGTTTTCACTGAAATAAATAATTGTTTTTCGCCTAATAGTGTACATGTACTTGTTACAGACGAAACATCGCGCGGCGATGGGCATGCTGGCAATTTGCAACGCAGGCTCGCTGATAGCCGCTACCAACCTAGTCATCTCATTACACCCTGAAGACAAGTAAGTACTAGGTAAAAAGTACCCTATTATTTAATCCAGACTTCTAACTTTACGTCTGCAAAAATTCAAAGCAATCGGTTTAGTAGATAAGGCGTGAAGTCGGAACAAACAAACAAACAAACAAACTCACTTTCAGATTTATAATATTAAATATTATATAGTAAGGATTATGTAATGCAAAAAGAAACAGGTTTATAACATCTTAATACTAATCCTCTATATTTATGTTTTCTCTCATGGTGTTAATTAATTCTAACCGTAGTAAATAACTATTAACCTTGCACCGTCACGTTCAAGTACTTCGTTACGTAATGCCTCAGTTAATACCCCAATAATTCATGTTTATTTATGTTTACTGATTTGCTCACGTAACTATTTTATTTCAGTTTATAAATCTAATGTAATTTCACTTCATATAAATATCCATTCAATAGTTTGTGCGTGAAAAAGTAATACGATATTACGAATGTAAATAATAACAGTAAGTAATTATTTACATTCGTAATATTGAGTAGGATAGGAAGCATTTTTGAGAAGTGATGCTTATTATGATCATGACAACGTTTTTAAGACGCTTCTCTCAAACTCAAACTCAAAAGCATTTATTTCAATTAAACCATAATTTGGTACTTTTGAAACGTCAACAAATATTGAATAAATAATAGTCTGTCAGTCTGTTCGTCGGTGAAGCTAGGCGCTCGTTTCAAAATGTCGATTCGAGTGGAGAATAACGAGCAAAAAACTCTTCTTTTTATAAAAAGTCTATTTTACATTGCTCTGATACATATTCCAATATTGTACACACATGTGAGAATAATGTAAAGACATACCTGACACACCATACAAATATCAGAACGTACTAAAATAAAAAAAACAAAACTAAGAGAAAATAAATATCTTAAGTCTGACATGGTCACATATGTATACTGACAATCCATATAAAATAGTGCTTCTATACAAGAAAAAAATAAATAAATAAACTCTCGTTTAAATAAAGAAAGAATCTCCCTGCCCCTATATGTTGGTCTAACCGCATTGCAGAGAAATCTAGAGATCCTATGTTTGATCACTAGATTAGCTAACTAATGCTATTCAATATTTGCTAAAAGTATTTCTCAACTGCTTTTACCAGACTAATATACATGTATGAATTTTGTAACATGATCGTCTTAATTTCCCCAAACGGTAAGTTGGGGACTTAACGGGTTACCGGGGCTCCGGCTCGAAGGACAGGAGTAGTAACGGGGTGGTTTTTAGTCAGTAAGAGTCTGACACTCCCTCCCGACTCGCCAGGTGGTAAGGGTCATGTTTCACAGTTACTGTTAACATAACTGATATATACATATCAGTTTGTTTAACAGGAACTTAAACAGAAATAGTGTAACAGGCCTTAAATATAACACATACTACTCTCGCGTAACAGTGGTTCTACTACCATCTAGAAACTTTATGACTTTGAGATTCGCAACATAGTTTAGCAAAATTATGGATATGACACATCTTGTATTTTGTGGACCCTTCCAAGGAGTGTAGCGTGATTATATTAATGTAAATGGCCAGGAAGCTAACTGGCAGCGAGTGTTGAATGCGTAAACTGGATATAAGGGTCACACGGGTGACGTCATAGCTAACGGACTGACTGACAGTTCCGTGAGGGAACACCAAGGACGAATGTTGTAATGTAGGTAGTTGCTATATGTTTGTAAATAATTATATATTTGTATGTAGTAACGTAATTAAGTAATACGTATATGCAATGTAATCGCAGTTCTGTGTCAAGTCCTTTGAGTCAAGGAGTCAAAGTCAAGTTAATTTTAACCATGTATCATTACAGGCACTTTAGAACGTTAAGATGATGGATGACAGTGATTGTTGTGCAGCTAACTAGTTGTAGGCGACCAAATCAATATTAGTGTTTGTTCTTGTACCTCTGGGTAGACTCCATCATCACCACTTTGTCTACACACCTAAGTCTTTGACGGTTTACGACGCCCATGCATGAGGGTGCGGTTTCGAAACCTACCAACGGCAATACTAATGTGACGTTTTCCGATTTATTATGTACTTTCTAAGATTATTTTTTAAATTGTGGGAGAGCCATGCTGCCATGCTTAGGCACGAATGGGCCGGCTCGACCGGAGTGATACCAAAGCCTCACAGAAGACCGACGTGAAGCAACGCTTGCGTTGTGTTTCGTCGTGTGAGTGAGGTTACCGGAGGCCCAATTACCCTCCCCTTCCCCAATCTCCCCAATCCCTGAATCCCCAACGATACTCAAACTCCTAATCCCCAAAAAGCCGGTAACGCACTTGTAACGCCCCTGATGTTCCAGGTGTCCATGGGCGACGCCGATTACTTACCACCAAGTGATCCGTCTGCTCGTTTACCGGCTTATGCCATAAAAAAACACCACTGACAAACGGTGAAGGAAAACATCGTGGGGAAACCTTGCGTTTATAATTTCTAACTACAAGTTTGAAATAGTTAATCCTCAAACCTTCACCGTGTGAGAAGAGGATTTGATCAGCGGTGAGCATTTATAGGCTGTTAATGAAGGGTCTGGGGACACCATGGTATAGTCGTATGACTAGTCTCTGAACCATGGCATCCCCTTGCGTCAAGGCCCTTAATTTCACTTTAATGACAGACTGACATACATACGTATTAGGTATTTATTCGTTTTCCAATGAACCTCGTAATTTTTTTTACACACTTGAATAGGTTTTCAGTTCAATGCGTTTATCGTAATGTTTATGAAATGTCGTGTAGGTACTGTGCTTGCAGAACTGAGGGCACTTAAAATTATACCGTAGAACTGTGGTTTAAGGTGTAATATAGTACACAGTACATTTTTTGTACAGAAATGTAAGGGGACTTGATATGAAAATAGTGTAACAGTTCAAGTGATAACTTAATGCATTTGGAATTGATATAACGTAGGTACCTCTTCAAGTTTGAGGGACTAGTCACGCATAGACTGGATTCATGAATGGGTGGGGTCTCAAGTTCAACCCAGGTGTATGGTGTGCAAAGCCGTGGAGCTGCGGGCGACCTAGTGTCAGTGTGTAGTCAGTAAGAGGTTGACAATCCCTCAAATCCAATTTCGATCGTCCAAGGCGATGTTTTCCCCTCTAAAAAAATGTTTGCAGATTGAAAGTGTGTAAAATTGACTCGAGAAAGAAACTGCGCCGTTTGTACAATTTTCCTTCGATACGAGTTACGACTACGCTTCTTTAGTTAACACTAGTATTTCCATTGTTAATAGTAACTCAGATAAACAACCTGTATCATGACGTCATCGCCATTAAAGTGCAAGGACAAGAGATAGCGAGAAATTCTCCAACAACATTGTAAAGCAGAAAAATGTTGATAATATTGAAACTGTGAAATACTTCCTTTTTCGACAACGTAATACTAGGATTGTTCTCATAGTTTTATGGTGTAAATTCTATGCAACATGTAACTAGGTCCATTTTTCCACATCACATTATTACTTAGTCTTGGATTAGACTTAGATTTGGGTATCAAACCAAGAAGTGAGTCCCCATCCGTCAGTTGGCAAACCCGTCTTGCCTTTAGTCTAGAAACTACAGAATGTCATCTATACTATCCTTGTACACCACTTTAGCTTCTATCAAATGTGATTGAATGAAGTATCAAATAGCGTCAAAAGTGCAGTTCTCAACCGGCGGATGCATGAATGGACGCATCCTGACCACTTGTACTCCTTGCCTGAACAGTATTTTTGGAATATGTAAACTTAAATAGCACGCCATTTACTCCCCAATACTGTCTTACCCTCATGTCGTAGGTACGAAACATGGGGCGAGTCCATTGCCATAAACCGGGCTCCATTCATATGTATGTAAACCTATTCTCTCATTAATAAATCCCCCTTTAGTACAGGCTGCAATGTAGGTCGATTGTACGAAATAGCCTTGGCACAGAAATCTCCGTGGAGCGTTCATATTTGCACTGAAACACGTGCGATGTGTGATTAACGTCTCTCTGGACTTTGTTAACCTACTAGTTAGTATTTAGGGCTACATTTTGTGAGGTACGGTGATACGGTGATTGGTTGATTCCGAAGGGTGAGGGAAAAGAAAGATAATTCTGTTTGTCGAGTTCGCTGATAGAGCGATTGCATATGCGGAAATAAAAACAAAGGAGTTTTGTTTTTATTTCCGGGTCCGATATAGTGTGTGTATGGGGTTTATTTATTGTTTTGTGATGACTTGGTGCCTGGAGTAAGTGTATCTCAATTTATTCCCTCAGATGAACATGACGTGATGTTCATAATATTATGATCCGTAAAACATAAAACATCTTACAGATATTTTAAACGCGACGTCATACCTATTAGTACTTTAACGATGTCATAGCAATTTATAGAGATTACTCGTACCCATGGTACTTGTAGTCGTGTATGGTGCACTGCATAGCATAGCCAGTAAAGCGAGGTTTTGACATGACGATTACTGTAAGGATACCATGGGGTAACGGAACTTCTATTCTTCCTGGATACAGATGCAGCCCGACAGGGCCGATGCCGATTCGGAGTCGCGGAGAACCTAGCTGGTTACCGGGGCTTCGGCTCGACGTACAGGAGAAGGAACGGGGTGGTTTTTAGTCAGTAAGAGTTTGACACTCCCTCCCGCCTCACCCAGGCGGGAAAAGTCATTCGATGATTTTCAATCCTTAAAAAAATATCTTCCTGGATGTCGATCGTAACAACTGACATTTGATAGATATCGTGCAGCAGCCTGCACAGCCTTTTCTTTTCAAACTGCAATCATCAAGCGTGCAGGACTCGCTATAGTCTTCTTATGCAGGAGAAGGCTATTGTCCAGCACTGAACTGTTACTGGTAGTTGTTGATGTTTTCCACTGAAGTGTCTTAGGCAGTACGACTCGACTCTCGATCGCACTGAGTGGCTGTATCTTGTTCGTTTGTTGTAAACCCTTGGGGGCCCACACATGTAATCGCTAGCTGTCAAAATTACTTTTAAGGGATTATTTGTGATGTCTGTTAAAAGATAAAACTTAAGATTTTACTATGCCATTATCGTCAGTGTTTGTTTGCATTGATATAATCTTGATAAGTTTGGATGATACTTAAAATATACTTTGTATTGTTTAAACTGGTTATTCGTGTGACTCTCGAATTTTCTTAGTTCAAATAAGTTTTAATGTTTCTTTGAAGTAAAAATTCTAGAAGTTTGGTTTTCATTATATTGGGAATTATTTTTCGCTGAATGAAGCGGTTTGTTTTGGTTTCCGGCCCTCTAACTATCGCTAGAAAACATCTTAATTATTTTATTTATGCAAAAGAAGGACAAATAAACATATCTACATATTTATAAATAACATTAGTGTTTGTATATCACCAATATCCCAGAGGTTACCGTCTTATAGAAGGCAGTTACCGGACGTCGGTCGCACGTTGCCTAAACGGTTGCCAAAGTCAGCACAGTTGACCCTGCGGTTGGTCTACATATCACGTGTATTCGATTCCCGAACAGAGCATATTTTTTAAGAGGTCCATGGAGGATACTTTTAAATAAAAAACTTTCTGGTAAATAACTAACAATATAATCTTACTAGCTATTGCCGCGGGGTTTCACATGCTCTGCTCAGCTCCTATTGGTCGTAGCGTGATGTTTTATAGCCTATAGCCATCCTCGATAAATGCGCTATCCAACACAAAAAGAATTATTTAAATCAGACTTTTAGTTACGGAGATTAGCGCGTTTAAACAAACAAACAAAAAAACAAACTCTTCCGCTTTATTGAATAGTATAAGATTATGTCTTATTATTCTGTCCTCCTCGTTTCAGGATCACAGTAAAGCGCGGCGCTGCGCTGACGGCGCTCGGCTTCGTCTACTTCATGACGTTGTTTGAGTTACTTAACTCATTGGCGCTCTCCACCGGCGCCGGCGCACGCTTCAGACACAAGTATCGCCTCAGCTGCGGTGACGTGCTCGATATTACCAACAAGTATGTATTTGTGGTATACGTGATGTTATGGTTTTTTAGTACTCTTTGGGAAAGGTAAAGAAAAGAACAGAAAGGAAAATAGGTATCATCTTGTGAGTAGTTCGAAAAAAAAACACTAACACTAGTGGAGGTACTTTCTTCAAGTCGAAAAAAGGTCGGCCTTTGTTTATTAGTGGACTTATTCCGAATTATGAAATAGCGAATGAGTAATCAGGTCACCTGATTGTAGGCGATAATGGATACTCGTAACACCAGAAGTTATACTTACAAGTACGTTACCGGCCCTTCAGAAAGGAGGTACGTCTCTTGAATCTTTGAAAGCTCTCCTCATTATCTGTGTATGTGTGCAGATTAGTATCGGCTGTGCAGGCAGCTCTATCGTGCGTGACCGGGGCAATTGTGTGCCTCTGGTCGTGCACCCGCGACTTCATGCGGAGCTCCCACTATATGTCCGAGGCCTACGCCTGGTTCGGCGCCGCCTACTTCTTCTACGATATATGGAGCATGTATATGGTGAGTGAACACTATCAAAAGTCTGTAAAACAATTTCCTTTCATCTAGAAAAAAAAAATGCTTCAGGGAGTGTGTTAAAGTCATCTAATTTATAGGCAGTATAATATTTTTAAGGAATCAAACCGTCAGCTAGTTATAAAGCGGTGGATGATATATGTCAATAAGTCACATGAATATAAGAAAACAGTGATCAATAAGATTTCCAAAAATTCAAACAATCCGTTTCAATTTAAGGTCCACGTCCAAATGAACTCCAATCCAGAGGTTTCCTCGTCAAAACGTCGTCTATCTAAGAACGGCTCGGCTCCACTCTCGTCTGGCGACAGCACAGTACAGAAGAAGCAAGGCACTACCTTCTTAGACTACTGCAAACATGAACCTGTCATACTGATGCATCATCTCTTCATCGGAGGCTTCGGGTTCCTTGTCATTGTGGTGAGTTGGAGATTTTACAATCTTGCTACAATCTTGTTGTTTTAACACGCCATCTCTTGATTTGTTACTGAAACTACATAAATACGCAAAAGTTATTGGGAATACAATATAGATGTCGCTACATCTATTGCATATGCATAAATATGTTTCCCTTTTTTCAGTATCTACGCGGTAACCTAGGCGACTGTACATTTGGTTTCGTGTACCTGATGGAGCTGTCGACGCCATTCGTGTCGGTTCGCGGGATCCTATCCCGGATGAGGTTAAAATCGTCTCGGCTGTACATTGTCAACGGCATACTGATGTTGCTTACGTTTTTCGTGTGTCGAGTACTTAGCTTGCCTTACGTCTGTCTCATGTACAGCAGAGTTCTTGGACTGTCCTATGTTGATGTGAGTATTTTATGTTGTTATCCGATGTTTATAAAATAAATATTAGTTCTATTAATTTTATTATATTTTATACTATCTCATCAGTCTTCTAGTCGCAATTGCGATTAATAAACATAAGATTGTCAATTAGTTCATTGGGTTGCACTTAGTACTGCATTTTTTAATCCTTAGTTACTTTTGTACAAGTTTTACATTACCTTTATAATGCCGTTTTACTTTTATTAGACTTGAAACGAATTTAACATTTATTTCCAGGCAATTAGATCCCTACCGACGGGCTGTAAGATATCAATTTGCATCCTCCTTCTCCCCCAACTATACTGGTTCTACTTGATGTCGGCGGGCGCGTTGAAGATGTTGTTCGGGACAGGTAAGAAGTCAGCTTCCTTCAGCGGCGGGGACGTGGCGCCCAGCAGCCTCCCGTGCGGCGGATGCGGCGAGTGCGCGCGGTGCGCGGCGCAGGCCGGCGCGTCGCAGTGTGGCGCGGCGCAGTGCGGCGCGCCGCAGTGCAGCGCGGTGCCGCCCGGGAAGGCGCACAAACGGAGCTGATGCCAGGCGCGGCGCCGGCGCCGGCACCACTAGGACACCTCGCACTGCCCAGCCAAGGGGACTATATGTCATGCCATTCTTGTACAAATGTAGCCATGTATGTATGTACATGCCTAGGCTGTTGATTCAATCAATTTTGAACTTTAATGCAAAATTTCAAGGTTGATTTTCATAAATTAGTATCGTTTTATGTGCAGTTTGTAATATTTATATCACATGTATGCCATGGATACGTTTGTACAAAATTATTGTAATGAGTATGTAAAGAGATCAAGTTTTGCATCTTTATGCTCTCAAGTATTAATTGGTAATTCTAGATCTGAAACTGTTATTTGAATCTCGAATATCTCAAATATTTTTCACATATTTTATATTTTATGCCTTTTCAATACCTACCCATAGTCTTCATGCTGACGTAAACAAGAGAGACGATTTTAACATTTCTAAAGCAGTATTATTTTTGCAAAGCTTGGTCTTTTATACGTTCTTCTTAAATATGTGTAAGTCAATGCGATAGTCTCGTTATGTCCCCTGTAAAGTTGGTCTGGCGCGGCCTGGCTCTGTTAGAGCTACTGTATTGTTGTAGCTTTGTTCTGGAGCTCATGTTGGTAGCACTGATGGCGTGATAGTACTGGGAGCGATTCATAGATGGCGCTAATGAGCTATGTTCATATTTAACGCCAAATTATTTTTACTAAATTCAATTATAGACTGTGGTACAAACATGTGTTGCAGTTCTATTGTCGCCTAGAATTGCTACGGCAATGTTAATTAAATAATAGTTTCTACCAACATTGGCTCCAAGCAAAGCGAAAAGACTGCTTGTTGGTGGCTCCATCTGTTGATGGGAAATGTAGTTGATGTTGTTCGTGTCCGACGTTAGATGGTGCTGTTACTAATTTTGGTCGAAACCGAAATAAATTGAAGCTCATCGAGTAAAGTCGTTTTAGGTAGAAATATAATAATAAAATTGATATGGCCACGTTAAATAAATATATATTTCTAAGTCATTATTGTATACAGAATTCGTAAACGAATATTTATCTCGAATATAAATATATTTTGACTTCGAATAGTTACCGGTAATCTCGATTGTTGCCTCAATTTTTCTCTAGAATTGACATTTTGAATAGATTGACGTTTTACGGCCTAGCCAACGTAACTACGAGTTCTCGAGAAGAAAGAATTATCTTAATTTTCGAGTATATGCCTAAAAGTATCTTCCAATAAATTGTAAATAAAATTAGAAGTCTCATTTCTGCATATTGTTTTATATCTATGAAAAGATTATCAAAACTGCCTTTTACCAAAGCACAATAATGGTCCGCAAGTATTTATACATTTTCTATTTCTTATTTTTACATTATATTTTTAATTATATTTTTATTCTTACTTACATGAATACGTCGAAGTTTTTAGGCTCCTAACTTCGATAATTTTAGCCGAAGTTTGACAATTGGCTGGCCCCATAACATAATGTTATAAAATTATGGTAAAATTGTTGTTTCTCTAATATAAATTTTGCTATGTATGTGGTTTATATACAAAATGTATTTAATAGCACAATATTATATGTCATAGGTGTAGCTTACTGTTGATAAATGTTTGCTGTCTATTAATTCAATGTTTACATGTAACGAAGGCTTATTTTGATAGTAAAGTGGATCATCACAATCATTTTAGATAAAAAAGGTTAAAAAGGTATCAGAGGCCTTAGTACGAATTGTTTTACGTTTAAAGATATCGAAACAAAACCACGTTCGGGCTCTGACTTGTTGGTTATTGGAATCGGCTAATTACAACGCCGAACGTGATCTCGTTTCGATTACCTTTGTTATTGGCCGGCCGTCTGATACCTTTTTGCCTCTGAACAGTATTTTCAAACAATGATACTTAGGGATTTATTTGTAAAAAAAAGAAATAAGTCACTGAGATTTTGCATGGCGCTAGTGTCGTTTTAAGTATGCTAGACTACTACACCATTTGCAAATGCCTAGTGAGTAAACGGCTGCTAATTACAGTGATAGACGCCTACTTTGTTCAAAAAGTTTTAAAAGTTAGCTGATTGGTTTATTATCATTATTATATTCTTATATTATGGCAGCTTTGAATTTTTGCTTTAATAATGATCACCTTCCTATCAAAATGTGCTATGAAATGAGTCACTTATTAATATGAACATACTAATAACACATGCACAAATCTATGAATTAGTCTGTCAGACAAACTGTAAGGGTGTAACACCAATATATAAGTTTATATACTGTCATAAACTGGTGTAACTTTATTAATTTTCGGTCGAAGTTAATAACTCTTTCAATCAAAAGTCTTTTGATTGACCTATTTTTGACAGAATTTCGATAGAACTTTAGGGAACAGAGAGTAAAGTTTCATAAGATCAGTGCCTTTAGCCAAATGCCACTTTAGCGCTTGTCTACAGAGAGAGTAGAAATCAAAATGTATAGGGATGACACTGACAAGTGTCAAAACTTACGTCAATTCCATACAATTTGGTTTTCTATTCTACATGTAGACAAGCGCTAAATGGCATTTGGCTACAGGTGCTGGAAAGGCGACCTCCAACCAAGCGAGGTGGTCGTATCTGGCTTGCGACTTCCCAACAGTTATACGTTGGGGTTAAGATTTTCTATGCATGTTTAATCGCGTGTAAGCTTTATTCGAGTGATGTAGGATTATAACGTCATCTCTGTAGTTAAATCTTCAATGTGCATCGCCACAGAACCAATATAAAAAATCGATTGCAATCCAAAGATTTTTGATTATAATCGGTAATTTATTTCGATCGTAAATGCATCTTATATTATTATCTCGTATCGGTGTCATTGTTAAAATTAAGTGAAAAACGCGCAAAGTTTTAGCGCTTAATGTTATGAAATGCATGATGATGAATCTCTGTGTAAAATGGATACTTTCACTATGGTTTTGGTTTGTTTACTAAAAATTTTGTATTAATGCGTTGAGGCTAATTTTGTTGAATTTATTATCTGTTTACATATTTGTGATCCGCAACCGATTTTGTATTCTAATTCTGTAGCCATAAGACTAATTGAGACTGGACAAAGTAATTTCTTTAGTAGTTGTTTTTTGCGTCCAATGGAAACTTTATGGCTAACGGGATAGAAGTCAAAATTGGTTATTCCTAGAAACATTTAAACAGAGGTAACCTTACTAAATTTTCCTATCTTGGATTTTGGTGATTTTATTTGTTTGTAGAAATTATTTTGTTACTTAATGGCGCGTTGTGGCTTTATAATTATTGTTTCTAGCTATTAGTCTATAAAGTAAATTATTTATTATGTACATTGTACATGTGAATGCGAACCGAATTCTTCCAACCAATTTACTTCCGGTATGCCAAAATAAATTCATTCCATACTAAAACTCTCCGAGATCTTTACTAATCGCATTTTATAATAGAATTAAGACTTTTATAAAGCTTTTTATTACTCACATTGTTTGCGAATACTTAAAACTTAGATATCCTGATATTTTTTCTAATAAAACTTATACTTTTAACTCGTAACTTCCAGTTTACACATGCAGGAAATATTTAAACCATTTAGTTATTTTAATAGTCTAATTTAACCAGCATTTATTACTTGTATGTTAAAAATAACTGTTAAACTCCAAAATAGATCTATCGTAACTCCAATTGTAACGGAAATTAGAACGTTTTATTCATACAAGTTGCGCTAATACTCGCTTGTTGCGCTGAGTTTAGCGCAAACTTGCGCAACTAATTAATGTTTGCGCAATGAAGGCTACAATTGCTTTGCTCATCAGATTACGCTGATCTAGCAAGAAGTTTTTTGTCAAAACACTGTTGTCGGAATACTCAAACGCTACTCAATTTTAAGTCGCGCTTAACTATAGTTCTGTCTCCACAGATTCTTTGTAAAATGACAGAGATGGCACGATATTTAAGTACGACTTAAAATTGAGTAACGTTTCAGTATTCCGGCATGTAGCTGTAAAAAATTGAACATCAAGTGCGGGAGAGCCATGCTTCGGCACGAATGGGCTGGCTCAACCGGAGTGATACCACTACCTTACAGAAAACCGACGTGAAAGAAGTTTTGCGTTGCGTATCGTCGTGTGAGTGAAGTTGTAGTAGGTAGTAATTTTCTGTTATATAAAAGGCACACAATATAAGAGAGCCGCAGTAGAGCTATCTGGTGAGTTGAAATACATTGATTATAATTGAATGGTATTAAAGTGAAATAGTTTATATATAATGCTTGTATTCATACGCAATAAGTGAGTTTAGCGCAACACATAGATTACGGTTTTATATGTATTAAAATAAATGAGCTTAAATGTAATAGGGTTTTAATGCACTTAGTGAAATGTTTGAAGTTTGTGTGACGGTTTAAGTCTGAGCGTTATGTTCCTATAGAGGCCTATGGAATAGGTTCTATGGCCTAGTTCTAGATGAAAATGTGTAAATTATTGTTTTTTAGATTTATTATTAGAGGTGGTAGTTTACATTGCGGCCTATTGCATCAAGATGTTTAATTCTTCAAGTGTTTTATGCACGGCATATGTGCATAGTTAGCGGAAGATTTACTTTTAGTTATTTACCGGCAGTCAAAGACTTAAAAAACCACGATTCTTCTACTTATAAAAAATGAAAAATAAAAAATAAAAAAAAAATATAGCTGGGAACAGCAATATGATACTACCTAAATCTCAGTTTTAAATAGAAGTGTACAAATTAATAATACAACCGTCAAAGATGTTATAGGCCGTCATCAACCATTGCTTTGTTGATAAAATTGATTATAACATTGTAACAACAATTAATAGAGAAATTATTTGAACATCATTTTTGTTAGCAATGTGTGTGTACAATATGTACAATAGTGTTACCAGTGTTAAAAATCTAATTATGTAGTTGTTTAGGCTGGCAAGCTGGGCATGCGACAAAAACACATAAAATAATATTGTTATAGATATTTATAAATTGTAATAGATTTTTAACTGTTGTCTTGTATACGAAAAATGCCAATAGCTACACACTCATATACATATACATATATGTAGTAGGACTCTCCTTTTTCAAGTCGCCAGTTTTATATTTTCCTTTGCTCTTATTATTGCTACCCTTTACAAATCTTACAAAAGAGTTTTGGGTCCTTTCTTAGCCACATAGCATTCTCGAATGTCCAAACTCTTTACCTAGGTAGAAAGAGAATTATAACACTTCTCTTTCTATCACCATATTTCATATCTCATTTGAGTTTGTCTTATCATCCTAAAATTTTTCTGATCTGTATGAATATAGAATGCAGTAGCTAAGCCCAGTGAGCCAGCCTGTCATCGTGACGGTGTATGTGATAACTTGTTGCAGTGACTGTTTTATATTAAATGTATCTGATATTTCTATATTTGTTTTCTTTATATACCCGCTCTTTATGTTATCAAGGTTTTTTTTACTCCAAAAGTTATATTTTGTTAAATAACTATCTTGAGATGAGACAATAAATATATTATTATAAATTAATTTTAAAAATACGGTTTTCGAGAAAAGCTCTACTACTTTCGAGTCACACCCGGACTCTTTATATACTTTGCAAAGTGTGCGAGGCCTCTTATTGAAACATGCCGTATTTGTCAATTAACTCATTGATACATGTCTAGTGTCACGTCGAGACCAATGCCACTTACGTAGTGAATCTACTTCCAAATGACTCTGTCAATGACGTCGGTTATATCCCTATTGTACACTCCATCCAGTTAATTAGTATGCACGTACAGAAATAAATATTGATGATTCAGTATAGACCCAGTAACCATCGGTTGGCTACTGAGCCCACCAATGGCTATAAAAGATATGCCTTTGTTAATCTTATAATTCAGTTTAGGTGATAATAGCCGTTGTTTTCAGTAATGAACGAATCTTGATTTTATTTCAATCAACTGACTATACATTGTGGAGAATAAAAACAGTGACGTAGTATGACATGTGACACGGGTGACGGAACTATGACCATGTGAGTGACGTCAGATTGTATTTATATTTATAAATCACTGTGGTTTAAACTTGTAAGGAGGTATTGTTGCTTGTTCGCATGTTTTGTTATAAGTACTGCTAAGGTAAACTGGACTGGCTAACATACCCACCTACTTGATACTTCAAAAATGCTTATTGTATGGATAAATTACAAGTTTATAACTTGACCACAGTAAAGAAAGAAATTATAAGTTAAACAAATGCCAACGATTAAATAGTTTACCTTCCTCATCATCATTAAGTCCGCGTTTGTTAGCCTAACTAAACTGAATTTGTAATCGGCCTGTAAATATCTTAATATTAGTCAGAGGCCTCTGCTCACAAGGAAAAGAACACAGTACAGGAAAACATTATATTCTCAGAATGGGGATGTCCGATATTGAGACAATCTTCAGCTGGAAATACGTCGCAATAATAAATCATAGGTAGCGTCAAATCTTGAAACATCGTCAAACACGCGAAAGAATCTGATCATATCACCATGATGATATAACTTCCGGTTATTAGGTGCTTTATACCTTAAAATATACCATAAAATGTATGTTAACCATAAATCATATTGAGGTGTGCCTAAAACTTTACTCAGCCACCTATGCGTTCCCAAGCCGCCTACCGAGTATGGGATTATGATAAAGCCTAACTTTAGAAGAAGGCCTTTATTTAATAGTAAACAAAATATTCCAGTTCAGGACATTGACGGAAGTAATGCGAGAGGCCCGGCCTGAAATACGTGGAACTAATTACGTAGGCGTTTATTTTGTAAACAAATGACTTATTAATTAATTTAAGGGGATTAATAGATATGACGCTATGTTATTAGAATTCATTAGAAGTTCGTACTCACGTGCACACTACGCTACCTAATCAGGGACTGATTGCAATCAACTTTGGATTCATCTAACGCTAAAATCTAAGCACTTAAGTGTAAACTGACGATAAATTGAGATAATCTTATTACTATTAAGGGTTTTCCCTTTAGGTAGGTCGTGAATATCTATCCGGGGTTTTTCTGACTGGACAAGAGGTCTCTTGTGCATGCAATAGTGCACTGCAATCTCCAACCTACCTACTGAGCTCCAGTGTGGAGATTATTGCTATCCCTCATGTGGCAATCCACCCACCTTCTACGTGGAAATTATGACAAACCCTCTCCACTCAGGTCTCACTCAGAAGACTATGGCCTCATAAATAAAACATGAGATATTAAACACGAAGATTTGGCAATATTGACATAATACAATAACAAATCCAATTAGCTACATATTTCCTAAAATCGCAAATGGTCACTTAATTATGAAAACATCAAAAAATCTGCAGTATTTATTTGATATATTTTTTGATAATTAATTAATATTGATCAATGAGTATACTGATAATAACTAGGACTGAATCAAATTAATTTTTTTTATCTTGATAGGACAATGCATATTTTATTTATTAGTAGTACGTTTACATTAGATATTATGTTCCTAGATATGTACCTAGGTTTGTAATTTTAATTGAAATAATGGTACCTAGTGGAGACGGGTTGAATGTGTTCCGGGTACCACAGAGGTGTATCGTTAGTCGGACTAACAAAGAACTGGCGTTAAAAGAAAAGTAAGTTAGTAATAGGTAGATAGGTAGAGATCTAGAAAATTTATCTGATCCCTACAAATGAATGTCAATCCCCTACTTCTACCTCGACCATCATCAATTAAGCACATTTTATCATTCCGAGCAAGGTGTCAGATTCTGAGCTTTACACAAACTTAAATAAAATAACAAACCGAAGCTAATGTCAAATAGGGTAGGTAGTTGGTTTGGCTCGACACAGAATGGTTCTTTTTTAAATTATGTAATGAAAAGAAAATGGAAACCCAGAGAAGTTGGGAATTCCGAAGCTATGAATCCGGGCCGGATAAATAGTACAAAATAAATTGATTACAAATGACGAACCAAAACTTATCGAATTGTCGGCAAATGTTAACAGAATCATTTATTTATTTATCTTATCGTGTTAATTAATTGATTTTGATCTCTGTAATTATTGCGATTAGATTCTAATCCGCAAAACAAGTTAAAATAGTAGCTTTGCTTTCGGCAGCAAGCAGTGGTTGCCAAGATGTTAGTGAAAACAGGCTTGTTCTTGTTACTGGTGACGATATTTCAGGTAGGTACAATACTAGGTATACACATCTAGCTAGACTCAGTTTAGGTCCTACTGGTCTGTTAGTACAAGGAGTTGTTTTATGGCAATATGCTTACCCCTGTTACATTGGACTGGTGAAAAGTGACTGATACTTGCTATAAATCCACTTGTCTACTCTTTTTAGGACTTATAATACGCGACTTGTTAAAACCTGTTCATGCATGGTTGTTAAATGGGTAACGAAATAGATATTCTTCACCAGCGAAATTCTTTTAGTATGTATGTAGGTACCTATTTCATCGTATGCTCTTTATTTTTGCAGGTATCAGCACGCTACACCGAAGTGCAACCTGACTTCATCGAAAATGTAATCAAATACGGTTAGTAACTCTAAACATTTATAATTTTTAAGTTTATAAATATAACCAAAGAAAATACAGTAAAATATGTAAAAAGCTTACTACATTACCAACCAACCAACAGCATATTATTTAAGAAGGTTACAAAACTGTAAGACACTTAGGGCCTATTTCACCATTTTTGATTACCTAGATTTTCTGTTGGCTGTATCTGCTACATTTTCTGATTATTGAGCTCCATCTACTTTATAGATCTCGAACTAACGTCTACTCTGATATGCCATTGTTCACTTTCTAAGTTATTTCTCTTTTTACAGAGGAGGAAGCCGTAAACTCGGGGTCTCGTATCGTATCGGGATGGGAGGCAGTGCCTGGCCAGCACCCACACCATGCTGCTCTTCGAATGGTAGACCCTACTGGTAGTGTAGGTGGCTGCGGAGGATCATTCGCGTCCAAGGAATGGGTCATCACCGCTGCTCATTGTACTGCTGGGTATGTAGAAAAATTCTAGTGATATTGATGCAAAAAAGTGAAAGTGACGATAAATTATTGACTATGTGACTAGGTTTCAAATTAAACTAAAGGACACATAATATTACTTGGCGATGAATAGCGATAAAAGTTTATTCTTACGAGATATTCTTAAGAGATAGGTAATTGACTAATAAATAAATCTATTTATAGGCATTATGTTGATGACAGTTTAATTGTACACACTTTGATCTTAGCCAAAAGGCCGAGAAGTTTAATCATAGTTGGCCAATGGCCACAAACATAAACTCTCTAATAATATATTATGTCCTAAGAGGGTAGGTACATAGCGTCATCTATTGCGATCTTTGCAAAATTCTTCCTTGTTAGTGTTACCACGTAAAATTGGGTTTTCACCAACTTTGTATAAAATCGAGGATCCTTAAGGTTCAAAGAACCACAATCATAGGACTACTTTGTAAACAGATTAAAGTACCCATGGGAATGTGTGCTACTGGTCTTTGGTCGTATTATAGAATATTAATGATTTATGTTCTAAGAAGCCTTTTACTTTTGCAGTCGTGTTACAATAGTAGTCCGCGGAGGTGTTGTCTCCCTTACCGACCCGGAGTACATCCACGAGACGACTGAATACTACAACCACCCGCTGTACGACAACAACCGACCAACTGTTGTACAACCCCATGATATCGGTCTTGTCAAGCTCCAGAGCCCTGTCACATATTCCTGTAAGAGAACTATATTTGTTTTTTTTTTCATATAGAATTCGAAATTGGTGTCCAGCTTTATAACTAGTAGTTCACAAATCCATCAATCTAAAATCTAAATAACAATTCTGGCCAACCGTTCTTTATGAGAGGCCTAAAAACAAACGAACCTTTTTTGTTGTTCTATTTTTATTTTCTATACTTAAAGACCATCAAAAATAATGTAACAATGCTGTTATAATTTTCTTGATTGTAATATTTACATTGACAGTCCGTCTGCAACGTATCCGCATTCAACCGAGAGCTGAAGCGTACCGTAACTATGAAGGAGCAGTAGTCTACGCCAGTGGACACGGCAGAACATGGACTGGAGGTCTGTATCTTTTGCACAATTTTAGAAATAGAAACGGAAAAGGAAATAAACATATTATAACCCGTAGATTTTACGGTTACCAATAGGTATGTAGTGTACTTATGCAATGTAAATTGTATGTTCCAATCCCATAAATATCGAATACTTTTAAATAGAACAAATAATTTCTAATAAACAATTTAATTAATATTAATTAGGTATTAGGTAGGCACTTATATCTATCGATGAAGCGATCCTGTCTAAATAGATAACCATAACACATCTTTATCTTTTACAAGAATTGATAGAGGTGTAATAGGTATTTTCTATTAGGCTCACTTTGCTGGGTAAAAACATTAATATCATCGAACAATTATCATTAGAACAAACTGAACACAGATCTCTATCTAACGTTTCGCACAATTTAATAATTACTGCGGTAGGAAATGCTATCAAGATTGATCTGATATTATTGATAAGTGAAAAACAAAATAATCTACACTGAAAAACCAGAAGGTGGCTAATGTCTAATTTTGTATAGATAAATAAAACATGCACAATATTTTTTAAAGATAAAAATTATGAAATGTTCCGTATGCGACTACAAATCACGTGTTCGATTCCGTGATATTTCATCTTACTTCGCTTTGCAAAAATTATAAATGCTAGTGTCCCAGTAATGGCGAGTAGTGTTTATTACTTTAACAAATACCTTATTTTAACAAACACTTTAACAAATAACTTACGTGTTCTGATACTTTGTAATTTACCATTTGTTATTATTAACTAGTTTTTCTAGACACGAAGTATTTAATGTAATATTTTCTCAATACTAGGCGCCGTCACCGAGGTGTTGCGATGGGTGTACCTGACCGCGATCTCGAACCAGGCCTGTGGCAGCACGTTCACAAGTGGCATCATCATCGACACCTCTATCTGCGCACGATTCTTCAACGTTACCTCTCAGTCAACATGTCAGGTAATCATCCTATCAAGTGGCCATAGTGCTTCTGGCGATTTAAGTCCTGACGAGTCAGGTTGATGTCAAACAGTGAAGGAGTAAAGGAGAAAAATATCTACCTAGACGAGGTCTCTAATCCAAAACACGTCTACCTCAATGATCATGGGGTCTACGATAAATATAAAATAATCCACTGCCACATCAGATTACTGGTGTCGCTCTTTAATAGTTATTTATTTAGTAAACCTAGGTTTTGTTATATTTTTATTAATTCATTAATTTAATGTTCACAGGGAGACAGCGGTGGTCCACTTGTGCATGTTGGTTCTGACAGTGTTCCGACTCTTATCGGTGTGACCTCCTTCGTAGCTGGTGGAAACTTCGGTTGTCACTCTGGTCTTCCCGCCGGTAATATATTTATTTACATTTTCGGCTTCCGTTACTGAAATACTTGATATAACTGTGATTTTAATATTAATACAATGTTTCCTTTTAGGTTTCATTCGTCCGGGGCCTTATCTTGATTGGTTTGAACAAGTTACTGGCGTTGATTTTGAAAATCTAGTTGAAGATGAGCCCACAACTCCTGCCCCTAGTCCTACAACTCCTCGCCCAACAGAGACGGTGCCTCCTGAAATTGACTACAATACAACTCCCGATTACCGTCCTACCCCTACAATTCCTGCCCCTAGTCCTACAACGCCTAGCCCAACACAGACGGTGCCTCCTGAAATTGACTACAATACAACTCCCGATTACCGTCCTACCCCTACAATTCCTGCCCCTAGTCCTACAACTCCTGAACCAGATCGCCCTACTCCTACTTTCCCTGATTCAAAACCTACAAGTTCTATCCCTGATGTTACCACCTTTGCACCGGTTCAGCCGACTACTGAAGACTATCATATTACAACTCCCGATGACGAAGAAGGCTCTGGCGGAGACGGCGGTGATGATTCTGACTGTTCCGATTCTAACGAAGATGATGAAATGTCAGAACTTCTTAAACGTCTCGAAGTTAAAGTTAAAGTCAAGGTCAGGTTCGACAAATACAAACACAAGGAAGAGAAAGAAAAAGTTACAGAAATTAAGAAACATCATTAATTAAATAAATAAAATTATAAGCCTTAAAGTTTTGAAACAATGTGTATCAAAGTCAAAATAATGTTTACTGAAGTTATTTATTAGGTACCATTACGAAATGAAATAAATCCAATTTAACATAGAAGAACATTATTTTTTATTTTCCTTTACTTTTTTAATATCATATTAAAATTTTCCTTAATTTCAAACTTTGTTTTATGAAGCTAGCAACATTTACATGAATGTGTCATCCTATTAAATCACTGAGTTCTGTCTTTTACGTCATTCACAAAGTATTGGAATCTCAAGCATGTAATTCTAGTAATTAGAACATACAATTTATGAATAAACATTCCTTTTTGAAATGAAATGGAGGGGCCGAATGTTAAAGGTAAGTCTTGAATCTCGTCATATTGCAAATTACGTTGTGTAAATTTATTATTTACGGATGTTTTGTGTTTAGAATCTGTCATGAGAACTGTGTGGGCGATTCTTATAAGTTATCATGGTTTATCTTTTGTTTGTCCTGCCTCGCCTTGTGTAACTTAAGTTCAACTTACTGCACGTCAAGTAGCAATAAAGTTATATTAGAAAAGATTGTAAATAGAACTTGAAAAAGTGTTTAAAATGTTTCCTGAGTTGACAATTGCAATGTTTACATCTGTATCTTGCATTTGAAGGATAACATAATATTTGTATTATACCTTGTTGAAATAAAGTTATTAGAAAGGTATTTGATGTTCAGGGCCATTTAAGAAAAGTCATGGATTAAAAAACAAAGTTATGAACAAAGTATATTTTGTTGGTTTAAGACAGATTTACATTAATTTATTCTATGAATAACAAACATTAGATGAAACTGGTTTTTTTGCGTAACTAAAGTTTGTTAAAGATCCGTCTAGTTAAATAATGATATTGTTATTTGTACCCATGTAGCCAAGTGTTTGCTGAAATTATGACTATGTCTATAGAGTTACTGAATTAGTAAAAGTTCATTCTTCTATAAGCATGATTTAAAACTTTTTTGTAATGTAAGTTTTTGTGGGGAAACCATCCTGTGATGAGTTCCTCAACCTCTTGAGATTATCAAGAGGTTTATTTTTTTAGTCCAAAACTTTTTTAGTATTTCTGCAGTAATTTCTTCTAATAAGATACAAAATTGCACTTTTGCAAGTCAATATTTTAAATCTAAACTAGATGAATATGAAGCTGTTGTTTCTGAATCAGCTACACTGAGAGGAAAAAAAATTTATCTCGAATGTCATAGACAATCATAGTCTATTTTAACAATCCTCTTTTGTAAGTCTACATTGACCACCTCCTTTACTTTTTTTTTATAGAGTTGTCAGTCGGAATTAACCATTATTATCATTATTATTTAAGTATCCTTTAACAGAGGGTGTTAAAGGTATGTAACATCATGTTATGAATCAGGGAATGACACATGATAAACTTTAAGGAAAAAGCGTATGGATGATTATTTGAATGTTCTTTATATCCCTTACTTATTTCGTTATGATGATATTAAATTTTTTATGGAATGAGCCAGTAATCGAACATACGGATTACCTGATGGTTAGCAATCAGTGTCACCCTTGAACACAAGGGTGTAACACTTGAGTATACAAGTGCGTTACAGAGCTTTCGTGGTTTACGAATTTGAGGATTTTTGGGGATTGGGATATTGGAGAAGGGGGTAATTAAGCCAGTAACTTCAGTCACATGACGAAACACAACACAAGTGTCACGTCGGTTTTTTTTTTGGAAGACTGTGGTATCAGTATGGACTATGGAGAGATAAAGTTTAAAGTAATATGTTATAAAGCAAAAATAGTAAGTGGTACTCTGTAGTCTGTACCATACATTTAAAACCATTTTTTTTATACAGGGTGACTTGTAACTCGACGTATTCCTCGGGAGATGATAATACAACTAATTCCCTACAAAAATAGCCCTGAGGTCTCTGGTCCGAAAGTGGCTAGTTTCTGAGATATTCAACATTGTCGGTTTTGGTGAAAAAATCCCGAGTGAACTACAAAAACATCAATAAATAAAAAACTACTGGTTTGATTTAAGTGATTTTCGTTTTAGTTTGTTATCAATAAACATTTATTAACACTAATACTGGCAGAAATATGATTCGTATTAAAATAGCAAATTTTGTATCGAGTCACTAATTTGGTAAATAGAAAACTGCAATTAGTTTAAAAAAATTATATTACACTAAGCATACAAACTATTAGAAAAACTTCCTTGGTTTAATAGCTACCCAAAAACATTAAATTATTTATGAAATGCTCAAAAATAAATTAACTTGATGATAAGTAAAGTGTAAAAGAAAAGACCCAATTTCAAAAACATCAACATTTACAAAATCTTGTTCAAAGTAACAGTAGTATGATGAATACATGCTCACACACGCTCCCTTATCTCTGAGGCGGTCACTCTTGAACTGAATGTGCGTCTTATTTCTCCTAACATTGGTTTATTCCAGCTAAACTAATATTATAAAGTTTATAATTGAGTATAAGACCCTTATAGGGCTGATGGTGACCACCCAGTTGGTTTTAGTGTTTTTTTTAATCTTTATTTAATAAGAAGGGCTTTTCCTAAGCGGAAAACGTCAGCCCTATTAAAGGATACAAAATTCAGTACAAATATTAAAGCAGCTAAAACGATTATAGGTTTAAATAGCCCTTAAGCTTAAACATAAAATAATTAAATGGATTTAAGAGTCCCTCAGTCTTTAGTCTTTCTCTGTGAGAAGTCAGACATCTTTTGAAGGTTTCCCCGCCCATAATCAAAAAAGGTCCCAATTACAGTGTAATGATGTGCTATCATTTCTTTTTATGGCATTAAGCCAGCTGAGCCACATAAGAACACAAGGAACATATGACGAAAATGGCCACTTGTAAAGTACAAATACGTTACAGGCCTTTGGGGCCTTGCTGAAGAGGATCAGATCTCTAGTAATTTCACTCGCATAACGAAACTCAGTGTCGTCGAAACTCGCCGATTTCCTGCGAGGTCATGGTATCATTCTGGTCGAGCCGGATCATTCGTGCCGAAGCATGGCTATTGGCTACCCCAAATTTAAAATGTGTTAAATAGTATGATTTGTATTGCAGAGTCCCCAGGGTGTGCAGGCTGCTTGAATGATATCGGTGACGACGACTACGTGTCCGCACTCAACCAAGACTGGCATAAAGACTGCTTTCGGTAAGTTTACATATCTAATTATCTACTAATATTTTTTCTATGAACATATACCCATCAGCCTATTCAGTATGGTCCATTTAAACGCACTGCAACTTGCAAGGAAACAATTTGTTACATTGTCCGCACATAGGCCTGATTTAGATTGATTCGGCTGACTAAAGAAATCTGCAACTATTAATCGCACGGATTGGAAGAAACTATGTATTTTTGCTTGAATCGACAACCTCAAACCTGGGCGCTTACTCTTGAAACCAATCTCAATGTCAATGCAATTTCAATCCAATATGATCTCAATAATTATTAAATGTCAACACTATACAACCACAATCTTAGCTGTTACAATAGCATTCAGAGTACGGAATATAAAGACAAACTCAATACCATTTAGTTCATTCAATATCTACGCAATACGGATGCAATGGGCTCTAGTATTGCAACTCAAGAGTACGAAATTTCACAATACCAATGTCGATCGATCGGAATTGGATTCAAGAGTAAGCCCCCAGGTCTGTCTCTAGATACAATGCTTGAATAATATAACATAGTTTTAATTTTAATTAATACCTAATATTAGGCTCGCGGTTTAGTAACTACGGGATAAAATAAATTAGCAACGAAACGAGAAACTAATGAATATACTACAATAACGATAGATTGCTAATTTTAGAAATAATATAATTTAACAGGAAAATATTATCTCCTACTACAAGGAGAAGCTCTGACGAAGTTATGGTTGACCACAATTTTCAATAGGTTTACATTTCGAATAGATCGTCACAATAACAACCACATCCACATCCTGTGACAGAGCAATCTTGAACTTTATGGGCTACGTCTCATCTATAAAGGGTTTGCTTTAATCTCCACCGCTGGCCGTGAGATAGAGACCACATTTTAAAAGGTCCGGGTTTGTCAGAGATCGCAGCTGTCCATCGTCTTTATCAGCCTGTGACAGCATCGTCCATTGCTAAACATGGCCTCTCCAATGGCACGCCACTGAGCTCAGTCTTCAACTCTTCACCTTGCGGACGTCGTCACCCCACCTAGCTAGAGGGCGCCCTACACTACGTTTGCCTAGATTCGGTCTTCATTTTAGAACACGTTTACCCCAACGGTTATCGGTTCTTCGACAAATGTGTCCGGCCCACTGCCATTTAAGCTTACTGATCCTTTGAGCTATGTCGATAACTTTGGTTCTCTGTCGGATCACTTCGTTTCGGATTCGATCCTTCTAAGAGACTCCGAGCATAGCCGTCTCCATTGCCATTCCGCCGCTGTCCGGTCTCTATTAAATGTACAATCTTTTAAGACGCCTATGGAAGGAGGAGGGGTGGGTGACAAATTTTCGACGAAAATAAATACTCTACAGTCACCACACGGTTTGTACAAAATCATAATAATGTATGATATAATGTAAGTGCTTAGTTATAGGTCGTCCTAATGTCTATAGGTTAAAGACCTCATAAAGCTACTCTAAGGACTTTCCTATCTATCATCTTCTATAATTTATCTTTCCTAGCAAACTGACCTAATTTCGCACAACAAACAATATCGGAGTCAATTCGATCCAGACTTAATATTGTTACAGAAAGTTCTGAACGTCCAATTTGCTTGATATTGGGCATGGCAACCACTTGAACAATGAGGCAGTCAAAGAATTATTTTTAGAGTATGATGCGTAAACGTGTAGATAAAAGTGAAAATAACAAAACAGCAATTATTCACATTTTCTTAGTAATCATTCACATTCATCGTCCTTAATGCGATAGATAACATGTGATCCTCACTTAGGTAACTATTTTTATAATTTGAAACAAAGAACAGTCGTATCCTTCTGTGTGCGATAAACATAGAAACTACTGAACGAGTTTTTGTGCGACTTTGGTCATTGGACAGACGATTTTTAAAGATGTAAGTGCAGCGAGAGAAGCTTCAAATAAAGTAGTAAAATAAAATCATTTTTTCAGAACTTCCCCTACATTAAGTAGGTATGTCAGAAAATAGGCCATTATCCCTTTTTATTAGCAATACGTGGTTTTATGACACGCAGTTTTACGTCATAGGGGGGGGGGGGGTCCTGGAACAAGGAGGTCGTATTTTATAGCTTTCTATTTCTACTCTGTTAGTAATAGGTTTCGATTAAGTGAATAAGTGTAAGATTAGATAGGTACTCAGCTCTTATTAGAAGCAGTTGAACTTGTATGGATTCCTAAATCTGGTGGCGGTAACTTTATTTGTGGATTTGTGGAACGATGAAACATATTGATCCAATTTCTAGTGTTTGGTTTGTGATGATGCCTAGAGTAGGACAAACTATGCTTGTCAGGAACTATTGCTATGGAATAAATTAAGTAAAATCGCGGGTTACTCACGTGAATATACTGAGAAAAGCTCTACTAGTTTCGAACCACAGAGGGGTTCTTCTTCATTTAGGATGTCTCGCGATAGTTCTTATAAAAATATTGCTATGGAATAGTAAAATACCTATATGATGATGAGAAAATCCGCTTAGACAAATAGAAAAACAGCTCTATAAAACACATCTCATAAATCTATGTCAGAAAAATAAAGGAATAACAAAAATGTCTAGCCCAGCAGGACCTTAAAAGCGTACATTGACCCCAAAATCTCTCAGACGAAAGACATAATCAAAGAAAAACATGGAATATTTCGGCAGACTAGTTTTTCATGAACTTGAACATTTTACGAACGAATAAACTTCGGTAAAATGGTCCAAGTTTTGTGATATTTTTGCGACTAGCTGCCAAATGTTTTCGCTCGTGTCTACAAAGGTCGCTAAAGGCTCTTGGCCTTGATCGGTGTGTTGGTTGCCAAGTTTTTAAGTTTAAGTTTTGTTAGAATTCGAAATATAGGAATAAAAGGAAACATGTGCTGTATTGCATTGTAAAGAATAGTAAACCTTAAGCTACTTTTACATCTGACCAGTTGACGGTAAATGAGTCGAGCGTATCACCGGCATAAGCTCGACCCACTAACACATCATCTGTTAGATTTTAAACGATGAATGTTTTGTCAATATTACATGTTTGTAGTTGATATGCGACGTATTTTCCGACAGACGTTTTTTTTATGGCGTATAAAAAACGTAATGGTAAACGAACAGACGGATCACCTGATGGTAAGCAATCGGCGTCGCCCATGGACACCTGGAACACCAGAGGCGTTACAAGTGCGTTACCGGCCTTTTGGGGATTAGGAGTTTGAGGATCGTTGGGGATTCAGGAATTGGGGAGATTGGGGAAGGGGAGGGTAATTGGGCCTCCGGTAACCTCACTCACACGACGAAACACAACGCAAGCGTTGCTTCACGTCAGTTTTGTGTGAGGCCGTGGTATCACTCCGGTCGAGCCGGCCCATTCGTGCCGAAGCATGGCTCTCCCACACTTGAATGTGAATCGAAACTTAGTGTATGTCTGTACGTAACGTTAAAACGTATTTATTGATGACTATTCTATAGCATTGTCTATTTTGATACAGGTGTTCAGCTTGCGATGCCCTGCTGTCAACGTGGTACTTCGAGAAGGCGGGTCTGCTGTTCTGTCAGAACGACTACTGGGCACGGTATGGAGAGAGCTGCCAGCAATGTGCACAGGTACTTGTTTCGTTATAGAATAAGGTGACAAACGAGCTGATAGATCACCTGATGGTAAGCAATCGGAACAGCTTATGGAGTAACAAGTATTACAAACATGGTTCTCCGACGTCACCAGAAAAATTTATTTTATATATACAGGCCTAGCTTCTGCCAGCTCTCCTATTCTCGTGGAATAAAAATTAACATATGTGTAATCGCAAACCTATATAATAGGAAAAGAGGAAAACAACAAAAAAGATGGCACGATGATAGTAGGCAGGTCGCTGGAAAGACATGGAGTAGAGTAGTGGAGGCCTTTGCCAACTGGCAAACGGATTTACAAGAAGTGAAGAAGCACCAAATATGCGAACAATTTTAATTAAAAATGTTTAAGTTAGGTTCACGTAATGTAAGAAAGTATTTTAGCTTTTTAGCTTATATATATATATATATTATTATGTCTTTACCATTCACGGGACCACAGGGTCCCGGTCATTTGGAAGGCGTACGAGGGCCCGAAGCCAACTGCGCAGAGGCCCTTTAGACAACTTTAATCTAAATGTAATGGACACACAAACCGGCGACTATCCTTGTGTGCACTATGGAAATGCACCCAAGACCAGTCCTATTATTAATCGCAGACCCTAATCTACCCATCCCTATCCCTTCAGCAGTTATGATGTGATTAAAAATACACACAAATACTTCGCATTTATATTGTTAGTAAGATGTGATAGTATAAATTAGTTGTGTAACGTTGTGCGGTAGGTGATAACGGGTCCGGTGATGGCGGCGGGCGAGCACCGCTTCCACCCGGAGTGCTTCGCCTGCGTCGCGTGCGGCGCGCACATTGAGGACGGCGAGCCGTACGCACTGCTTGAGCGGTCCAACTTATACTGGTCAGTGAAACTGCATTCATTACAATCTTTGTTTGTTACAATAATTATTATGTCATATTCTTGTGATGTTTTCATTTTTTTTCTTGTGGTTTCCATTCAGTGTGGAGGCCTAAGGAAGGCCTTTGTCCAGCAATGCATGTCTTCTGTTTAATGTTAATGTGATTTGCCGTAGTTTGTTATTTTTATTAGGAAATGACCGGCAAATAGACACTTAAAGTTATATGTTTGTTTGTTGACTTTCAAAAATGCTTTATTGGTCTAATTGATATAAATGGAATGATTTATACATTTGTTCAAAAGATTTGTCATTGAATTGATTTGTTTCCGATGTGCAACAATACTTAAATAACTTTTCTCCATTAATCTTGTTTACAGTGGTGCTTGCTACGGCAGTACAGTGCGGTCGGTGTCGCACTCCATCCGTGTGGTGGAGGTGCCTCCCTCTTCCGTCCGGGTCGCACACACCCCGCCCGCCACTATCACTGTCAAAGAGTGAGTATTGTTGTCTATAAGTATGTAATATACATCAGGGTTACTAAGAGCTAAAAAGGTAGCTTCATTCATAGCTTGTCATTCATTAAGTGACAGTAATGTTTAACAATATGTGTATTCATATAAATTTCATAACATCGTACAGTACATTATGTGTCCATATTCATGAAAATGTCAATGTTTAACTCTTTAATACACGTCCTTCACGTGCGCAAACAGTAAAGGTTACTAAAGTTATGATATACTGTACCTACATTTTTGCGCATTTAATAGCGTTAAAAAATCATTTGCGCGAATGGTTGCGCTAAGTTAAACTACTTGCGCAAAAGTTCTGCGCAAAATCTTTACATAATTATTCGATTTTCATTACTTAGTTTCATACACATACGTCATACATAATGGTAATATTAACCGCCATACACGGGTGCACTAACCGGGAACTAACCCGCTAGCGGGCGCTGCGGTGGCAAGCTGTCTGCGGCCGCGCGAGCTATACTCCGCGCCGTACTCTCCGTCTGCATACAACTTACATGTCATAGGTACTTACTACTTTAGGTGCTTTATTAGGCTTTATTGTCCACGTCATTTGACGAAAACATGCATCCTACAAATGCATAAGTTGGCCTACAAAAAACAAATGCTTGCGTCTTGCTTAGACTTAAAAAAACTGTCTATAGAACAGCAACATTAAATCTGCCTATCGTCATTTGTAGTTTGCATGCATTCGTATAATGTCGTGTCGTGGACAGTAGTAGGCCTTAGTTACGTTGGTGAGCACGCCTGTGATAATTTACGTGTTTTTAAATTTAATCTTTGATGCCTTGTGATAAAGTTCTCTTTTCATTACATAGATAAACAATTGAGCATGCTGGTGTAAAACCGTAGAGATAATATTAACATATTTTTAAATTTAATATTATTTTGTTGAACATGCTTTTGTAGAACCCTAGTAATAATTAACAAGCATTCGAATTGCAACTTTGATGCCTTGTGACAAAGTCCAGTTTTTATTGCGTCGTTGAGCATGACTTGTGGAGAACCAGTGAAGTGAGATATTAATTCAGTATTCGATTTAAGAGTCTTATACCTTGTGATAAAGTTCACTTCTCTTTAAATACAATTGAGCATGGTTGAGTATTTATTTGGATTTTGGTTCAAGTAGAAACAAATACCAAGTTTTTATTTGAAACTTATTTGTTTTGACTTTTAATTATCTCACTGAGTTATATTATAAAGCCAAGACCAAGGATACATTAGGGGGAACAAATGTCCTGCGACACGTGTTGCTAGCGACGTCGGGTGACGTAGCGCGACGTTGCCGGACTTTGGTCAACATGTCTGGCAACATCAACGTCACTGTGGACATAAGTTGCACGTTGTCGCTGTATACAGGATGTAAACGGAACGCTCCCAAAAAACGCCGACTGGTAATGATAAAAAACATGGTTTATTTTCATAAAAGTAAGGAAAGTAGAAGGAATTAAATGTCTCTTTTGTGTAATAATAATTGCAATCAAGGCTGATATTGGATGAATAAGATATAAATTGGAACGAAAATAATTGTAAAAATAATTTCTTTTTGTCAGCGTTTCGGGAGCGTTCCATTTACACTCTGTGTGTTGGGCGACATCGGCCAACCTCGCTCGACATATCGCCGACACATGTCTTGGGATAGTAGTTCCCTAGTGGATCCTTGGCTTTACGCTCGTGCGTTTGATATATTGATTGCAGTATAATAATTATTATATATGTGTTGTATATCTTGTTTACAGTATATTTATTAATAGTATCGCCGCGGCCATAAATTATTATGTTATGTCTGTTCATCAGTGAGTCACAGTGATTGCATTTTATTAATAGCATATTGACGTCATAATAATTTTACACACCGTCTGATTTTCTAGTGTGATAACATCTACGTGTGTAATAAATAAAAAAAGAACTTCTACATATGATAGTAGTGGTCAAATAAATGACAATGATTTCGAAAACGTAGCCCTGTGATAACCCGCTACGGAAGGGGCCTAATAGGGCTGATGCACATACAGAGCCGCGGAGAACTTAACGGGTTACCGGGGCTCCGGCTCGAAGAGCAGGAGTAGGAACGGGGTGGTTTTTAGTCAGTAAGAGTCTGACACTCCCTACCGCCTCACCCAGGCCGGAGAAGCCATTCGATGACTGTCCCCCCTTTAAAAAAAATCTTATATACCTCTATAATTCTTCTGTGAGTGTGTATGTCACTGAACTTCTCTCAAACGACTGGACCGATTTTGATGAAATTTTTTGTGTGTGTTCAAGGGGAATGGTTTAGATTCACAAATCAGCCCGGCAGATGGCGCTGCAGTCGATGTTTAGGTTGGTTATCCTAAACGGCTGAACTAATTTGAATGAATTTTTGTTTATACATTCAAGTGGATATGTAGGACCACGTCCGTGGGGTCCGCTAGTACTTATATAAAAATATAGATACATTAGATACATTTTCACGTATAGGTAGCTAACCACAATATGGCAACAATACAAAAATATGAACGGAATTAATTTTCTCATTATATTGAGTAATACCACTCAGAAAGTACCTGACGTAAGTACTGTGACCAGCACTGTGACATACTCTTTTCCGTAACATATCTTTATTACATTTTCAACTTTATTGTTTTGCTATAGAGTTGAAAATACAATGACAGATTGGGAAAGGTTGATTTGCTGGTCATTGTACTTTGTAGGTATACCTAAGCTGTGAGGTTAATGTTATGGCCACAGTCGCGCCATAGCCCTTAAACAATAAATAATCCTTACTTCCTTACTAATATTATAAATCGGAAAGTGAGTTTGTTTGTTTGTTCCGATTTCGCGCCGTAACTACTAAACCGATTGCTTTGAATTTTTGCAGACGTAAAGTTAGAAGTCTGGATTAAATAATAGGGTACTTTTTATCCCGGAAAAAATTGATATTCCCGAGGGAAAACAAAAGTATTGGTATAGATGGCGCTGTATGTATTGGTATATGTCACATAGGCTACTTTTTATCCTTTTGTGACGCGAGCGAAGCCGCGGGTAAAAGCTAATACAGTATAGTTTTGTTTATTACCTTTTCAGTTATGTTCAGTCAGCCAACTTATTTTCTATTTTATTTGTAATATCTTATATATTATAATTGTTTTAAATGCGTATATTTTATATTCTTATATAAAAAACCGACTTCAAAAACTTTTTAATAATAATAATTATTTTTTAAACTACGTTTTTACGAAGTCGGTTCTTTAAAACGTAGTTTAACAAATTACTATTTGCTTTTTAATTTTTAATTTTTACTTTTCATTTGTTTTTAATTTCAACCTCCTCTTTTTTGGTAGTCGGCTAATTAATATACTAAAACCTTCTCCTTAGTGAAACAAACAGTTTTCTGAAATCCATATCAAAATCGGCCAAATTAGATTCAAGCCAATTGCGAGATAATCGCGGACAAACATGCATACATTATTTTTATGGCATAAGTCGGTAAACGAGCAGACGGATCACCTGATGGTAAGCAATCGGCGGCGCCCATGGACACCTGGAACACCAGAGGCGTTACAAGTGCGTTACCGACCTTTTGGGTACTAGGAGTTTGAGGATCGTTGAGGATTCAGGAATTGGGGAGATTGAGGAAGGGGAAGGTAATTGGGCCTTCGGTAACCTCACTCATACGACGAACGAAACACAACGCAAGCGTTGCTTCACGTCGGTTTTCTGTGAGGCCGTGGTATCCATTCGTGCCGAAGCTTGGCTCTCCTACACTTAAACATTATACATACAAGTAAAACTGAATATCTCCTCCTTTTTTTAGTCAGTTACTAAAATCGACTTTGTTGGATTCGGGAGTTTAGCGCCTGTATGCAATTTTCCTTTTCCTTTTCCATGTATTGGTTTGAAACGTGACATTAACCTGCCCTGACCTGACATGTTACGACAACATTATGCTAGCATTTTCCTTTCAAATCAATTTCCATAATTACTTACATAATTTATTAACTATAGGGATAATTTAACACAACACATTCGCTTGTGGTGACCGGATAATGTGTCTACATATAATATTTTCATTTTAGTTTATATTTCGCTCCGTTTGGTGCCGCATATAATTTATTATTCAATCTTATCATTATATTAGTCATCATTTTAATGTGTCACTCTCATTGTTTGTAAAGCTGTATTTAAAGTATTTCTAGTGAACTTTTAAAATACTGCTTTCATACAAATATGTGCATGTTCTATCAAATAATCTGCTGCCGTTTAGGATTTATGTGCTAATATACATTATGACGATATGTTTTTATTTGTGTAACTAGATAATATTGTTTCAATATGGTGACAGTGAATATAAGGTAAACTAGTGCATAGCATGTTAGATTTTAGTATTTAATATTAGTGTTTGTGGAATATGGGCATTTTGTTTGTTATATATGTATATGTAAGTTTGCATGGTGTTTCTGTGTGTTTGTGTGCAGTAGTAATACGCAATCTTACTATTATATCATAAATGCAAAAGTCTGAATGAAAAGAATTTACACAATTTGTATGAATTATTGATCCACAAGGAAAATATTATAACATTCTTGAGACATACTAAATCAATTACTATGTTTTTCGGCTTACTCACGACTTGCGACACGGCGACGGCTAGCGCGGCAGTCGCCGCGTCGCGTGTCGCGGAATGCTGCTCATGAATATGAGCCTCTAGCATGGCTTGAAACTAGTCGAGTTCCTCGTCGAATAATAACGCAAGTCAGCCGAAAAACATAATAATTATGGAAAATATTTTATAATATAGGTATGTCTATTATCGATTATACGGCTTCCAATAGAACTATTCGTGCATGAACGGCTTTCTCACGTGAAAAATAATAGTACAACGTTATTTATTAAATTAAACTCGCATAAACGTAAACAGCCCGACAGCGGGGACGATTGTAATATAGACGACATGCGGGTAAGCCTCGAAAATAAAATTGATGAGAAACTAAATGCATGGAAAAATGACCTGGAAATATCTATAGCTACAACAATAAAAACCTCTATGCAATCTATCATGGAGCAAGAGATGGAGAAAATGAGGTCTTCTTTCAGTGATTTGATCAAGCAAGTCAGCGATCGATTGGAAAATGTTGAACAATCATTATCTTATGCCATGGATCGTCAGGATTCTTTTGATGCACGATTGAGTGAAATGGAAGAAAAAATGAAGCAAAACATAGATATAATAAGTCAACTACCTGACCTACAATATGAAATTAACTCTATGCAGCAGCAGGCCCGGCTATATAATGTAGAAATTGCTAATGTTCCTGAGCGCCGGGATGAAAATCTAGTCACCATATTGGAGAGGCTTGGGAGTCTTATCAAGCATCCGATTAAAATGTCCGACGTCGTGTCAGTTCACAGAGTACCGCACTTCGATAAGAAAACTACTCGACCGAAAAATATTATAGTGAGATTTACAACTAAGATTCTTCGTAATAACTTCATCGAAGCGGCAAAGTTAGCTAAAGGACTAAAATCAGATCAGTTGTCTATATCAGGGACTGCACAGAATGTATATATAAATGAACATCTTACTGGCAAGAATAAACAATTGTTTCGGATGTGTCGCGAGGCGGCAACCAAACAAAACTACAAATACGTATGGATTAAGAATGGTACAATATTGGTGCGTCAAACGGACTCGTCCGAGATCTTTGCGGTTCGTAAGGAGCACGATGTCAAGAAAATTAAATGAAACTTTGGTTAATATTTGCTGCATTCATCTGTACTTTATAGTGTATTGTTATGTTTGTATAACTCTAACAATGTGTGGGTCTCCTGGGTTGTGTGTGTTTGCAGGTTCATTCAGGTTTTCATATAGTTATAATATTATGTATCGGAAAATATTTCTAACAATACTTTGCTTGTACTTTATATATGTTCCAATAATAATTCTAATAAAATGCAACGATGGCTGGCTGCTCGGTGTTATCTATTACCTACTACTTACAGAAACACAGCAGTTCTGGATATTACAAATTATTTCACTCATATACACGTATAATCAGAGCGGGTGTCTAACAAATCTAACAACTAAACTTTATGAAGGTATAACTATAAATGGATAACACTAAAAATATTTCTATTTATTACCAGAATTGCCGGGGCCTTAGAACCAAACTACATACACTATACATGAACATATTGTCAAATTCGTACGATATTGTCATACTAACCGAAACTTGGTTGCATACAGATATTTCAGATAATGAGTTTATTGATAGCAGATATGTAATATTTCGCGCGGACCGAGATCGAGAATCGAGCGGTCGACGCGATGGTGGTGGCGTACTGATTGCCGTGCGGCGCGCGCTTTGCGCCGGCTGCGCACTCGCATCGATCTCGCCTGTCCCCTCCATCATAGACCAAGTATTTATCGAACTACATTTATCTAAAACCCGTTTTTGTGTTGGTGCTGTTTACATTCCACCAAAGCAAAACAATCAAGTTTATAATGACTTTTTTTATGCTTTGCAAAAAAAATTAGTGGATCAAAGTAATAACGGAGAGTATTTGATTGTCGTTGGGGATTTTAATTTACCTAAATTGAATTGGATTAATGGGGAGCCATACATGAAGTGTCTAAGTTGTGCTGATTTAAATCAAACACACCGGTGCATAAATAACTTCATGACAATATCAAACTGTTACCAAATAAATACATTACAAAATCACAATAAAACCATATTAGATTTGTTTTTCACTAATGTGTTGGATTGCGTACTGTTTTCGGCCCCTAATTCATTAGTGTCCACAGATGAACATCATCCCCCGTTCTGGGTCTCGGTACCATTTATAAGTAATAGTAGCTACATCCAACGTAAGCCATCTTTCAAATACAGTTTTAACAAAGCTAATTACGATAAAATTAAACAAGAGTTGTCTATTATAAATTGGAATGAACTATTAATGAATAGGGAGATTGAGGAGGCGGTATCCTGTTTTTATGAAAAATTATATAGTATCATTAAACAAAATATACCTTTACAAGTTATTAAATCACAATCGTACCCGGTCTGGTTCACGGCTAAATTGATAAAATTATCCAAGAAAAAAAATCAAGCATGGATTAGAATGAAAAAGTATTATAGTGAAACAAACTATAACATTTTCTCTAGATATAGAAAGGAATTTAAGATCATGTCGGAAAAATGTTACATGCAGTATATGGCGTTATTAGAGACTAGCATAAAGGTTAACATAAAGTATTTTTGGAGTTATGTTTCCCATCGCAAGCGCTCAACAGATATACCTACAGATATACAATACAAATCGATCAGGGCTGGTACTATCGAAGAGGCCTGTAATTTATTTAGTAATTTTTTTCTCTCGGTTTACCGGCCTTCTGATGTAACTGAAAACTTAACCATAGCTGACCTTGGCACCGAATCGGGAAACATGTCGGATGTTACAATCAGTAATCTTACTTTGACCAGAACTGAAATCTGCAAGTCATTAAAATCGCTAGATATTACTAAGGGTTCCGGAGCAGATAACATACCGCCCATCTTCTTTAAGGAAACTGCAACAGTTATTGATCAGCCTCTATGTTATCTCTTCAATAGATGTTTGACTGAGGGTAGTACCAAAAATATGGAAGAGCGCGAGGATCGTACCTGTGTATAAAGGTGGTTCAAAAAATGACGTCGAGAATTACCGACCTATATCAATATTGCCGGTACTTTCTAAAATCTTTGAGAGACTAGTCCACAATGCTATATATCCTCTACTACATAATCATATCTTACAACAGCAACATGGATTTGTTAAGAGACGATCAACTGTGACAAATCTTCTAGCATATACTACAGATCTATTTGAAGGGCTTGATGCTAATACCCAAATTGACAGTATTTATACAGATTTCCGCAAAGCATTTGACCGCGTAGATCATCGTAAATTGCTAGAAAAGATTGCATTCAATGGTATAAGGGGTGACCTGTGGAGGTGGTTCAAGTCTTACATTTCTGGTAGAACACAGAGGGTTGCAATTGGGGGTTATGAGTCAAACACCACTATAGTAAGTTCTGGCGTTCCACAGGGATCTATCCTAGGTCCACTGCTATTCGTTATCTTTATTAATGACGTTGACAAATGTTTCCTCAGTAGTGACTTTCTACTCTATGCTGATGACTTGAAAATATATGTAAGAATAAATACTAACATCTTCCTATCAAGACCCACCCAGATCTATCTTCAAGACCTGTTATAGATTCAGCTATATTGCCTCGAAAACAAATTGGCTTAGTCTTAACAAATGTAAAAGTATTAGCTTTAGTAAAAAAAAGTAGTTAGCAATTACACATATTCACTGTGTGGAACTAACATTGAGAAAGTACTGTCTATCAGAGACTTGGGTATTACTTAGACAACAAATTACACTTGATATTCATATAGAAAATATTATTAATAACGCCTTTAAAATGTACGGATTTGTCATGAGGTCAGCCAGTGAATTCAGAAATCCATCTACCTTTACCTATCTCTTTAAATCTTTAATAAGGCCGCAACTTGAGTTACGCTGTTGCTATATGGAACCCAATTTACAAAAATATGAAAATGGCTTAGAAAGGGTACAAAAGAAGTTTCTACGTTATACTAAATTTTAAATGTCTTCGTAAACAATTACCTTACAAGGCACTGCTTAAGTTATATAAGTTACTTGATCTCAAGTCTAGAAGATTGCAACTGGAGGCTATGTTGTTGTTTGATATCTGTAATAACAAATATGATTGTATAAAAATATTAAATAAAATAACATATTCCGTGCCCTTGAGAGCCCATGTGAGAGCCTCTCGTCATAAGCAGGTCTTTGCTAAAACGCGATCACGTACTAACGCCGGCAGTCGGTCCCCGCTGAATCGAATGTTTGGGACATATAATGATAAGTTGAGTACATTGGATAATTAGCAATAGTAAACATGCATACAGAAGCAAATAATCAAAATGTTATCACAGGAAAATATATAAACCACAATATCGTACATCGTTATGTTGTGTTATAACTGCAACCTACACACACAGACACACACACAAAGCAAACAAACATATGCATGCATACATATACGCATTCTTTTTTTCTAATTATTTTCACCACGGTAACACTTCCTATGAAACTTGATTATATTGAGGTGCAGGTTCATCATTTTCTAAATCATTTATATTTAGGTGACCATTGATGTTGAGTTTGCAATAAGTAAAATTGTATTAGTTAAGATATAAATATTAAGTTGTATTGTAAACTTGTTTGTGGTTCCAATAAAAAAAAAAAAAAAAAAAAATTCCACTTGGAAGTCACAGATGTCGCATGTGTAGTATTATCGAATATTTTTTTTTGACTTAGAAATACAAATTTTACTAAATGTTCTTTAGTTCTTAGAAAATGTTTGTATTTAATTCCTGTAAATAAATGTATTGGTATTTCAGAATCGATTCGTCATGTGGTGTGTTGACATTACACATCGGAGACAGGATCCTCGAGATCAACGGTACTCCGGTCAAGAACCGGCCTCTGGATGAAATCGAGAGGGCCTTAGGACGACCGGACACAGTTATACAGGTATACACCGTCTGTTATTGTTATTTATAACTGTTATATATATATTATTATAATTTGTTATTATCTGTTATTTCACTGCTGAAGCGATAAATTTGAACATCTTCTATGGTATGAAATATAAAGTAATGTGTAATGTTAATGAGTGTATGAGATATACAGTAGCAGAACGGGTAAAATTGTAGATTATTATAACATAGGCATAGGTACACTGAGGATTTCCAAATTGATATAAATAATATTTAACTTAATATACACTCCAATAATCAGTTTTACACGAAAATACTTATAAGTACTTAAAAATTATACTGTTACTAACAATAATTCGTCTATTAAGATATATTAATTTGAATCTTTAATCAAATCATTAATTGCAGCTAACAATAGAACACACAGCAGACACAAACACGAAACGCACACAGACAAACACACAAACACACGCACACACAGTTGAACACAAGACACATGACAAACAAACAAACACCAAAGAAGACTGCAAGCAAAGACAATCCATAGAGGTAGAGAAGAAAGAAGAGGGAAAGAAAGAAAGGTTGTTCAAGAGGAAAGGGGGAGAGGATGCGGGGAGGTGGGTACACAAGAGGAGACAGACTCCTTCCTCTCCACTGCTCGGGGACAAGGAGAAGAGTAGCAGCATGTCCAAGCTGCTGGATGCGTGAGTATAGAATTTTTGTGATAATATCTATGAATTGGATGACTAGTATCTCATTTTTAACTTTGTATAATTTTACATGTTATGTATATGAAAAAGATTTCGACTTGTATATGAAAGTTTAGGTAATTGGAAATGCATAAATACGGTAGTTGACAATTAGTCAAATACAATACTTTTATTGAGATTACAAAAACCAAATTTTACTATGAATTTTGTATTGGATCGCAACTTATGATGTCATCATATTTCTGCGTCAAATAGCATACTTATTTCCTTAAAATTAGCGAGAAAATATCCAGAAGTAGGTAAATTGTCAAACGAATGGATGAGAGTATGATTATTTTTCAATTATTTATTGCATTGAACAGTTAAAACAATTTATTTTAAACCTAGGAAACTAGTCAATTATAAGATACTTTGTCCGATGCCCCATCACCTGCACCCGTCAGAGCCTGCTCATGAAAGTGAGGTATCATTCAATTATATTTAAAAGTAAGTTTGAAATAGTGCATTCAGTCGGTTAGATCGATCTAAAGAAACAAGCCTTAATTCTTTACACTAAAGAAACCCAAAAACTTTGTAATAGTCAGTAATGAATATAATAATATTATTCCCCAGTGTGGACGGTGACGAGCCGAGTGGTGTACTGAATGACCTGGCCAGGGCGCGGTCGTTCCGCGCGGAGCCCGAACCCGGACAAAAAGTGTTCCGAGCCAGCGACTTATTGCAGGTGAGTCATATGACAATCAACAATAATTATACGTACCTACGTATTTTAAAAAAAAATCTCAGTAGTAGCACGGAGTCTGGAACTGTACCCGGTATATGGCAATAGGCTCACCCCCTATTACATGGGACTCAAAACATAAATAGTGAAAAATGGGTGTTACATTGTACTTACAGTGGTATAATGTGCTCCTCTGCCTACCCCTTCGAGGATAAAAGGCGTGATGTTATGTTTATGTTGTAACATTTTAAGATTAGAGGAGATCGGGGATGGTTGTCATAGATGTTATCATAGATAACGAACGAAAAAGTGAATGATATAGATAACGACAATGATCAGTGTCTAAGAATCGAAGTCGAAAGAGAGACATAGCTTCACTAACGGACTGACTGATAATTTATAAGCTACCTGTTGACGTTTCAAGAGTATCAAATTATGGTTTAATTGAAATAAATGCTTTGACTTTTGACTTTGACTTGGAGACTGAACACCAATGAACTATTCACCATAAATTACCGCTGAGACAACCAACCACGGTTTCTCCTGTATAGTAACTGCAAATGTTGAGATGTCGATCGTGTCTCTTGCAGGGCGAGCTGCTCGGTTCAGGTTTCTTCGGCGAGGTGTACAAGGTGACGCACCGCGACACCAACGAGGTCATGGTACTCAAACAACTGTACAGGGTCGACGAGGACGCGCAGAGGAACTTCCTCAAGGAGGTAAACATTACTTTTTTAATATTACGTTATTCTAGACTTTATTGAAGACCATGTATAAGCAAAACACGTGAATGTAGCAAACAGACTGAACTTTATTCCATCTTTTCACATATATATAGACAATTATATTTTTTAATATACCATAAACAAACATTACAAATGTAAGTCTACGTTTCAACAGAGATGGTATAACAAGTAGCAGAACACAAACAAATACTTTTATTATTTTGATACATCATTACAACACCATGCAAGGAAGGAAATGTTTAGATGAGATTCACAATATGAATGGTCATCCTTATTCTCAGCATTTTTTTTTCATACAGTGTACACGGAACGCCCCCGACACGCCAACAAAAAGAAATTGTTTTTATAATTTTAATAGTTTTTGTTTTTGTGTTATTTATGCAACATTAGCCTTGAGCACTTGATTACAACTCTTTATCTCTATAGTAATAATTCCTTTAAGGGGTACGGTAGACTGTGTCTGTCTGTGTTTCCTGAACGGTAGGTATAACCTGGGAGTCTTCAAGCCCCGAGTGAATAGGTTGCTTATAGGACGACGTGCTCCATCGTAGACCGCATCATCGCTTACCACCAGGCGAGATAGTGGGAAAACGTCGTCCCATCAAATATATAAAAAAAATACTCATTTTCATTGAGTCCTACCGTATTTTCACTCAACAGATAGCGCTAGTGTAAACCTCTCGTTTTTCGCCCAATAGGAAATCAGCTAGTGTCACATCATTGGACGTTAAATATTTAACAGCTGCTGTGATTGGCTGGAAGGACTTCTTCCTACATTTAATGTCTAACCAAGTGGTCCTGGTACTCGGTTACCGACTTACTACTATTAACGTTAATAAAAGGCAGGGATGTTATGGATATGAAATTTCGGATACGGATTGGATACGGATATAGAAATGATTATTATACTAGATACGGTTACGGGTACGGATATGAAAATTTTTCGGATTATCCGTTAGTTTCGGTTAATTTCGGTTACGGATATTATAAATTTTAAGGAATTTCAAAAGTAAAATACAAATAGCTAATATAATTGTTTCGTTTATACGTCACGCCGCTATCCGATAGTATCCGAAACTTTTATTTCGGATTCGGTTACGGTTACGGATAATTTTTTTGTATCGGGTATCCGATAGTTTCGGTTACGGTTACGAAGTTCTCTAACATCCCTGATAAAAGGCTAATTGTCCTTAAATTGTATGAATATTTCAGGTGGCAGTCCTTCGTTCCCTGAAGCACCGCAACGTGTTACGGTTCGTGGGCGTCCTGTACAAGGACAAGCGACTCCATCTTGTTACTGAGTACGTGCCCGGGGGGACTCTGTACCAACTATTGCAGGTAACATATGTGCTTTGAAAAATCTACTAATAACTTGATTAGAAAATCTGATCGTAATAACAATGATACAATGACTTCTTAATTATCACGTGAGTAACCCGCGATTTTTAGTTAATTCTTTATTTTAGTTTAGAAAGAAAGAAAAACCATTTATATCTGCACCGTGAAAAAATACAAAAACCACGGAAAATAGTTTAAAAAATATACAAGGTGTTGTTTTAAAGCCGCGTCATTTTCTAGGAGGTAACTCGGCTATCGATTCTGAGACCGAATCAATAAAAAAAATGTATTTTTCATTTTTCTGTAAATTACGGAAATCCGTAAATGCGAACTACAAGCCGCCGTCTTGTAACGCGGCTTAACACACACAAACTCAAACACGTAATTGATATTATTCCTAATTCCATAAAACGCCAATAAGACACATTGCTGTCGCTTATTCTGAAATACTGTCGAACTTAAACGTTTTATTGTAGCCGTATTTTTAACTATTAGCCCGAAACATTCTCTTACATTGAACCTTTATGACTTCTGTGACATGCCCCCGAGGAATGCCACGGTTTCAAAACTACACCTTGTATACATTCAAAAAAGGCCAGTGCTTCGTTAAAATGCCGTGAACCGAGTGCAATAGCTCGTGTCGCGGCGGTGTTTGTGTTACGTATAAAAGTTTTTCTTATATAATATTACAGGACAGTTCGGTCCCCCTGAGCTGGGAGGTCCGCGGCCGCCTGGCGCGGGACGTGGCGGCCGGGCTCGGGTACCTTCACAGGAGGAACGTCATACACAGGGACCTCAACTCGCACAACTGTCTCGTCAGGGAGGTCAGGCTTTAGATCATGTTTTGAAAATGTATCATCATCTTAAGTCAAAACTGTACATTTAATATTATTTTAAAGGATTCGTGTGGCGTGATTTACTATTGATACCGAAGCCAAATATATATAATATATAATAGAATTTTTGTCTGTTTGTCTGTATGTATGTCTGGGATGATCTCCAAAAGTACTGCATGGATTTACTTCAAATTTTACTAACAAGTCAGGTCAACATATAGGCTGTAGTCTCCCTCCCCCTCCTTCCCTCTCCTTCCATCCCTATAATATACATATTATCACGCTATCATCTACGAGTTAAGAGCTGTGAATCTCTATTCTAAGCGAACAAAGTCGCGGGCAACATCTAGTATATAATAATATAGTTCTTACATATAACAAAGTTTTTACTCCTTGAAGCATTGTATGTACCAAGTTTGATTAAATCAAGCCATGATCCCGGCTTGAAAGTTGGTATAAAACCGTTTTTAATTATGTTTTTTTTTAATTAGAATCTGTAGTGAAGGTTTAGAGACAAAAGCAAATCGCGTGGAAAGAGTATCACTTAACTTATGTCGCAGGACAAGACAGTGATAGTGGCGGACTTCGGTCTAGCGCGCATAGTACAGCGGACCGCCAACACTGGCAGCCCGGGGGGCCCGCCGCGGACTGGGACGCTGAGGCGGAAGCGGTATACGGTAACTACATACTATATTAGCTATCGGATATGTAAAAAAAAAACATTAAAATAATTAAGTTAAATCGCGGGTTACTCACGTGAATATACTGAGAAAAGCTCTACTAGTTTCGAACCACAGAGGGGTTCTTCCTCATGAGCAGCGAGCGCGGTCGCGGCGTCGTCGCGTAGCTCACTGAGCTCAGTGGTTCGAAACTAGTAGAGCTTTTCTCAGTATATTCACGTGAGTAACCCGCGATTTTATTTAATTTAGGATGTCTCACGATAGTTATTATAAAAATCATTATTTTATAAACTACGTTTAAAAAACCGACTTCAACTCCCTCTGTTTTTGAAGTCGGTTAATTAATATACTAAAACCTTCTAAGTGTAACAAACACTTTTCTGAAAACTGCATCAAAATCCGTTCAGCCAATCGCTAGAAAATCGCGCACAAACACACATATCAAACTGAGACCTCCTGTTTGGAATATACAATAGCGTTGGAAACCTGTTTTAACCCTTTGAGTACTGTCATTATAGACACAATTAAAGAACAATAGGTTGCGGTCACCGGTGTCCTCGCGGTGTTTGACAGTTTAAAGTTAACAAATATTTTCATACAACTATCAAAATATGTAAAACCTTATCACGAACGCGATAGAGTTCAAAATAGATTAATATAATATTGAATATTGTGACTTTCCGCAGGTGGTCGGCAACCCGTACTGGATGGCGCCGGAGATGATGAACGGGAACGTGTATGATGAGAAGGTGGACGTCTTCTCCTTTGGGATCATACTCTGCGAGGTAAGTTACTGAATAAATGAATATGATTCCATTTGGTTTTACCCCCATAATTGACCACACAATTCGTCGTGCGAGTGAGGTTACCGGAGGCCCAATTACCCTCCTCTTCCCCAATCTCCTCAATTCCTGAATCCCCAACGTTCCTCAAACTCCTAATCCCCAAAAGGCCGGTAACGCACTTGTAACACCTCTGGTGTTCCAGGTGTCCATGGATGACGCCGATTGCTTACCATCAGGTGATCCGTTTGCTTGTTTATGCCATAAAAAATACAAAAGTAGTGTCTAAACATCGGAAATAAGGTCTATAATGGAGTTAGTGGAGAGTGGTCACCTGTGACCGCTTGGGAATTATTCAGTTAAGAAGCATCGTCAATCAGAATGTTTACCTAAAGAACAATGCCAGGTGCTCAGTACATCTTTGACCCACTATATTAGAAGTCATGTACAAGTATGCAGTATTCAGCATCGTGTAGCTTATTAATTACCGATACCTAAACATTTGTCCTGAAACCTGTAAAACTTGGGGTTTTTGTTTAAAACACAAAAGAATAATGATAAATAACGCGAAAACAACGAAACACAGAGAGCGAATGAAAGATAATATTGACACTGACAGCTGACAACTGACGAGCGCTTCAAAACGTTTCGTTACACAAAAAAATCATAACTATATAGTAATCGTTTCTTTTATATTTTCGGGTTTCATCTGTAATTATTAATAAATAAATGTTATACATAATTATACTTTTGATATAACATTTTATGTATAATGATATCTTTATTTACAGTTACTTACTTTTTTATTTTCATAGTTTCGTACAAGCGATGTGTATGATGTAACGCAAATAGTCATTAGACAATATGGAATACGCATTGGAAAAGTGTATTTCCGGGATTGAACTTCTTTTTTTATTAAATTGTAAACCGCAAGTTTAAAATTAAAAAGATTTATTGTGAAAAGGTTCTTTATTCGTCAAAATTATTTCATCAATTTACTTTTTTCGTAAATGATAATATGACTGGGTCAGGATCTGGCATTGTCATTTCCAAAGCAAAAAATAATAATTGTTCAAATTTTGTCGTTTATTAATTTTTACTTGTTGTTTATTGTGATTTATTTTTATCGTTATCAATGTATTTAAACTTAAATCGGCTACAAGAGATTATATTACTTTGAATTTTCAAAAGAGTCCAGTGCCTCTACATTTAGAGTAGATAACTAAATTATATGGAATTGACGTAAATTTTGACACTTGTCAGTGTCATCCCCATACATTTAGTTTTCTACTCTCTCTGTAGACAAACGCTAAAGTGGCGTTTGGCTAAAGGCACTGTTTCTTTACAGAAAATAGACAATTTATTAGGACTACATCTGGGAAATGTTTCTTGAAACGTATCTAATAAAATAATTATTTTATATTTTCAGATAATAGGTCGCGTGTCAGCAGACCCGGACTTCCTCCCTCGTCGCTCGGACTTCGGTCTCAACGAGCCGCTGTTTATTGAAAAGTTCTGTCGCAGCTCGCACTGCCCCGAGCCGTTCTATAGGATCGCGTTCCTTGCGTGCCATCTGGATCCGGATATCAGGTACATATTATTATGTCTTAAAGTATGTTTACTACCCCAACTCTTCCCGCCGGTATTGTAATTGGGATGATGGGGATGAAAAAATATTAGACACGTATTTTTTTTTATTTTGTCGTATAATAAAAAAATACTTATACTCCGTCTGTTTAGGTAGTTAACTATTTGTAAACAAACCATAAAAAGAGTTCTTTATAGTTGACATTTCCATGATTCAAAATACTTCATAAGAAAATAAAATTGTTTCCATTTTTACGACAGTTTTCTCTATTAAATTTTATGTTTCTGTTCCTTTTCACTTATTTCTTAGTAAATATTATATATATCTGCTTGAGCATAATAATTTAATAACATTTATTAAATAATATAATATTTCATCACAATAGACACCATAAAGAGCCTAAAATCACAGGTATCCAAAACCTTTCTTTATGAACGAAGCATTAGATAATGTTGTCAAATTAAAGAGTACAACTAAGATGTAGCGCGACAATGAAAGTAGCGTGTATTACGTTTAGTCGGTTAATCAGGCGCCATTGACAGTTCTCTCGTCGTTTGCGCTCGCGTTCCTATTTTGTTGAATTTATCTTGTTTCTTTGTTTTGTTTTGTTATTAAGTATGTAAACAAAGTGCGTGACACTTCATTTAGTTTGTATAGTTTGGATTTGCAGTGTAAGGTATTTTTGATCTGTGAAATAGCTAATCTGTGGAGTAAACTGTCATATTGAATGACTGTGAAAAATATGAAAAGTAAAATGGTTAATTGTTATGTACAAGTAAGAATTTTAATGTAATTAGAATAATTGATAAGAACTGGTGAAACAATAGCTCTAAATGTTGTTTCTCTTTTCAGGTAAAATTAGTGCATAGTTATTATTAAAGAATGTTTTGTAAAAGTTTTAAAACTAGATTTTGTAAATAGGTAATAAAATAAAATTGTCTCTTTTCAGAGCAACTAAAATTTGGTTATAGTTTTTACTGTTCATCATCATCATCATCATATCCAAGGACAATTATAAATAATATCTTATTATAAAAACAACATTTCTACAGCTAGTTACCTGGAATAATGGAAAAATTTAAGTTTGAGTTCATGGTAAAAGCCAGTGATGATGTAAAAACAAATATAATATGTGTAACGACAATTACGGATTCAGATGGCCGAACCTATGCGATCCCAGATAAGTTACAACCTGCAAAATTACATACTGGAATAGTAGAAACACAAATCTTCAGAAAGAAAGGCAACTTTGCAAAAACGACACGAGAAACGACAGGTGTGGATATCCATGGACCCGGAGATGAAGGCGGTTTATTGTGATGAAGAAGGAAATAAACAATTTAAGGGATACTTATTGGAGGAACAAACAAAACCACAAACTTCTGCAGCAGGAATTTCGGAAGAATCTCTAACTAGAATCATGGAAAGCTTCGCAGACATAAAGAAAGATTCATCAAAACCTTTTAGTATGGCAAAAATGGTAGAAAAATTTGTTATACAAAAATTCAATAGCAAGATAACTAATGTGACCCAGTGGATGACTACCTTCGAAAAAGAATGTGTCCGTGTAGGAATAGAAGAAGATGTCAAGAAAATAGAAATTTTTAGGTTATTTATAGAAGGTTCTTGTTTAGATTGGTATAGTTCCATGCTTATAAAGCATACTATTAATTCAGAATGGGCAGTGTGGAAGAAAAACTTTTGTGAAACTTATGCTGATAAGGGTTGGTCACCAATCAGGTATGCAATGTTATTTAAATACAGACAGGCTCATTACTGGAATATGCGTTAAAGAAAGAGAGACTACTTTTAGAAATAAATAAGTCCATAGATAAAGTAACTTGATTGATTTGATTGCTACTGGACTACCGAATTTTATAGTAGATAAAATTGATAGGAATAGTTTAAAGGAAACTGAAGACTTATTCCAAAATTTAAGAAGGTTAGAACACATGGTAAAAACCTCGTTTGATAAAAAAATAGGATCTTCCGAAAGTAAAATTAAAGAGAATAATTTAAAACCCTTGGTTAATCCGTGTAAAATATGTGAAAAAGTGAATAAAGGTGTACGTTATCACCCTGAATCTCAATGCTGGTTCAAAAATAATGATAGGCCAAAAAAGGATCAAATAAGAAGTGTTAACAATTCAGAATTAGAGTTAGAATTAAATGAAATTGATCCAAAAAACTAATAGTACCGCCATTAATAAAAATTAAATTACTAATAAATGACACTTTGGAAATATCAGGAATCTATGATTCAGGATCTAATGTGTCCTTAATTTCAAGATTATTGTCTTTAAAAAAAAACACATACTAATGACAATAATGCAGGTTTAAAAACTATTAATGGCGTAAAAAAGTCGATAGGAATGGTAACTTTAAAACTTAAAATTTTCGAAATTGAAAAACATGTTAATTTTTTGTTATAGATGAAGACAACTTTGACTATGATTTCTTAGTTGGGTTAGACTGTATACAAAAATTTCATTTAACTCAAAATGAGAATTTAAACATCATCCAAAATGTCCTAACCAATAATAATAGAGACTACTTAGAAAATAATGAAAAACAACCCTTAAACACTAAAGAAATTCCTGGCAGTACAGGTAGTGAAATAGGGAATAAACAAGATATATTGTAAAAAAAAGGTGTGGACATAACAAAGAAAAATAAAAAAGAAACTATTGTTCATGAGTTTAGTATAAACTTTAATGAAAATATTATAGTCGAAAATTTTAATATTTCAGTAAATAATTTAAACCACAGGAAAAATCTGAAATTGATAAATTGATATCCAAATATAGTTCAGTTTTCGCTAAAGACAAATATGACATAGGGACTGTTAAAGGTTACGAAGCTCATATTGATTTGTTGATAGATAAATACTGTAGTAAAAGACCGTATAGATGCTCTATTGAGGATATGAAAGAAATCGAGCATCAAGTATCAAAATTATTAAAAATAATTTAATCGAGGAGTCATATAGCCCTTTTGCCGCTCCGGTAACACTAGCATTTAAAAAAGAAGATGGAAGGAGAACAAGGCTTTGTATAGATTTTTCGCGAATTAAATAAAATTGTAGTCCCCCAATCGCAACCATTTCCGTTAATCGAGGATCTGATGGTTAAAACAAGAAAATGTAAAATTTTTTCAACATTTGATGTAAACTCTGCGTTCTGGTCTATACCACTTAGAATTGAAGATAGACACAAAACGGCATTTGTTACTCAAGAAGCACACTTTCAATGGACTTGTTTACCTTTTGGCTTGAAAACTTCTCCCGCTATTTTTCAAAGAATACTGAGTAGCATAATAAGAAAGCATAAATTGTCAAACTTTACTGTCAATTACATTGACGATATTTTAGTATTTTCTGAAACATTCCAAGAACATATAAGCACGGTCTTTGTTATTGGAAGCAATTTTAAAAGAGGGTTTCAAATTAAAATTTACAAAATGTAACTTTGCGCAGGACTCTGTAAAATATCTAGGGCATATAATAAAAAACAATACAGTTACTCCATTGAAAGATAATTTGATTGCCATAAAAGAATTCCCAATTCCAAAAACACAAAAAAATGTCCGCCAATTTTTGGGAAAAATTAATTCTATGGAAAATAGTCCCAAATATTTCAATTATATTGGATCCTTTACATAATTTATTAAGAAAAGGAGAAAAATTCGTTTGGTCTGATAAATGTCAAAAATCCTTTGATACAATAAAAAAACTACTTTGCTCAAAACCAATTCTAGCTATCTTTGATCCAGACTTTCCAATACACATTTATACAGATGCTAGCATTCAAGGTATAGGTGCGATTTTAAAACAAATTCAACCTACCGGTGATGAAAAACCTTGTGCATATTTTTCAAAAAAATTAAACGACTCCAAAAAAGAAAAAAAGCCATATATCTTGAGTGTTTGGCAATAAAAGAGGCAGTAAAATACTGGCAACACTGGCTTATAGGAAAACATTCACGGTTTTTACAGATCACAAACCTTTAGAAAAAATGAATATTAAAGCCGAACGGATGAAGAGAATGGGAGATTTAACGTACTATTTGTCGCAATTCGATTTTAAAATAATATATTCTCCAGGAAAATATAATATAGAGGCAGATACATTAAGCAGAAACCCAGTGTTAGAACCGTTTGAAAATCAAGACAGCAGTTTAAAAGTAGTAAATTTTATTAGATTTCAAGACATTCAAAATGATCAAAATAATAATGAGGATATAAAACAAAATATAAACAAACTTATTTTCAAATAATATATTATAAGAAGATAGGAAAATATGAAAAGATAGTACTAACTGAGGAATTTAGTAAAAAGATTATAAAAACAGTACATCACCACTACTGTCACATAGGAAGACAACAAATGGAAAAAAAAATTAAGCCTTTTTATCAAGCTAAAAACTTGTTAGATAATATAAAAAAACATTGTGAAAACTGTGATGTCTGCTTAAAAAACAAATCTAGAGGAAAATACAAATTTGGACTTATGTCTCACTTAGGTCCCGCTACCTACCCATTCGAAATAGTGTCCATAGACACCATAGGGGGATTTGGTGGTGCTCGTTCAACTAAAACATATTTACACCTTCTAGTAGATCACTTTACCCGCTACGCTTTTATTTTGACATCCAAAACACAGAATGCGAGTGATTTTATAAAACTTGTCAAAAAAGTAACACAAGATTATAAAATAAACTTAATTCTATCAGACCAATATCCCGGCCTAAATTCAAAGGATTTCAAATTTTTTTTAGAAAAAGAAGATATACCTATAGTTTTCACAGCAGTAAATGCGCCATTTTCAAATGGATTGAACGAAAGGTTAAACCAAACGTTGGTTAACAAAATTCGTTGCAAGATTAATGAAAGAAAGGACAAAATTGCTTGGACAACTATTGCTCACGAATGCACTGAAAGATATAACGAAACTGAACATAGTGTGACAGGGTTCTCTCCAAAATATTTATTGGAGGGAAAAAATGTTGACATTCTACCAGATGAACTAAAGCAAAATAACACATAATCAACTATTCCGAGACCGAAAAAATGCGTTAGAAAATAGTATGAAATCCCACAATTATAATAAACAAAGATTTGATAAACACCGAAAACATTATGAATTAAAAGTTGGAGATTCTGTATATGTGGAAAACGGAAACCGGTTAAACCGAAAAAAACTAGACGAATTGAAAATAGGACCCTATAAAATAGAAGACAAAATATCCAATTCAATCTATAAAGTTAACACAGGTCACAAAAAGCCAGAGTCGAATCTCTTTCATATAACAAAACTTATTCCAGCAATAGAGTGACACAATAGACCTTTGTAAATTAGAAGGGGGGGAGATGTAAACAAAGTGCGTGACACTTCATTTAGTTTGTATAGTTTGGATTTGCAGTGTAAGGTATTTTTGATCTGTGAAATAGCTAATCTGTGGAGTAAACTGTCATATTGAATGACTGTGAAAAATATGAAAAGTAAAATGGTTAATTGTTATGTACAAGTAAGAATTTTAATGTAATTAGAATAATTGATAAGAACTGGTGAAACAATAGCTCTAAATGTTGTTTCTCTTTTCAGGTAAAATTAGTGCATAGTTATTATTAAAGAATGTTTTGTAAAAGTTTTAAAACTAGATTTTGTAAATAGGTAATAAAATAAAATTGTCTCTTTTCAGAGCAACTAAAATTTGGTTATAGTTTTACTGTTCATCATCATCATCATCATATCCAAGGACAATATAATAAATAATATCTTATTATAAGTATTTAAGTTTAGGTTATTCATCGTTTGTAATTAATGTGTTCAAATATATTGAAGAAACTTGGCCCAAAGACACATATCCGTACAAGAAAGAAATCCGTACATCAGATTCAGAATAGTTTCTATTTAAACATGATAATGAAATAGACCCATAGGCTAGGCTCTTGTACGATTTAGGCATTTGTACTTGTATGTGTGTGTATGACAAATGAACGATTTTAAAGTGAATTTAGTTAAAATTAAAACACGAGAAATATTTGAAGTAATAATAGGTTAAGTATCTCTGTGTCACGTGGTTTTCTTTGTTTACCTTTAGTTAATTACCTAAACAGATGGACTATAGATAAAACGAACTAAAGTTTAGGAGTGGGAGCTAAAACGTTATTTCTACGTATAAAATGTACGTACATAGAAGTGACGTCACGCGACATTTCAAATCAATATATCGTCGAAAGTATTTGTTTCTGTAAGAAAATAAAAAATACTTGACTAATGATGTAAAATAATCTACCAGACGTGCATTAAAATATAATTTAGGCATCTACCCTATTGTCGAATGAAACTGTGGGAGAGCAATGCTTTGACACTACTGGGCCAGCTTGACCGGAGTCATACGACGAAATACAACGCTTCGGTTGTTTCACTTTAGTTTCTTGTCGAGCTGGGTCACTCCGGTCAAGCGTGCCCAGTAGTGCCGAATCATGGCTCTCCCACAGTTTGTTATTAAACGCATAATATTATTTTTTGGTTCCTAACATTTATACCTGTGAATAAAATTTCTTCTATCATGTTGGCAGGCCTCCCTTCGACGTGCTGGAGGAGTGGCTGGAGACGCTAGTGAGCGAGCTGGGCGCGGCCAGTAGTCCCCCGCAGCTGCTGCAGCGGGTGGCGCGGTACGTGCGCCACTGCGGGCCGCTCGCCGCCGACACCGCACTCAGGTACTGCACGCACGGGTTACATTGCATTGTCGCGGTACGTGCGCCACTGCGGGCCGCTCGCCGCCGACACCGCACTCAGGTACTGCACGCACGGGTTACATTGCATTGTCGCGGTACGTGCGCCACTGCGGGCCGCTCGCCGCCGACACCGCACTCAGGTACTGCACGCACGGGTTACATTGCATTGTCGCGGTACTGCGCCACTGCGGGCCGCTCGCCGCCGACACCGCACTCAGGTACTGCACGCACGGTTACATTGCATTGTCGCGGTACGTGCGCCACTGCGGGCCGCTCGCCGCCGACACCGCACTCAGGTACTGCACGCACGGGTTACATTGCATTGTCGCGGTACGTGCGCCACTGCGGGCCGCTCGCCGCCGACACCGCACTCAGGTACTGCACGCACGGGTTACATTGCATTGTCGCGGTACGTGCGCCACTGCGGGCCGCTCGCCGCCGACACCGCACTCAGGTACTGCACGCACGGGTTACATTGCATTGTCGCGGTACGTGCGCCACTGCGGGCCGCTCGCCGCCGACACCGCACTCAGGTACTGCACGCACGGGTTACATTGCATTGTCGCGGTACGTGCGCCACTGCGGGCCGCTCGCCGCCGACACCGCACTCAGGTACTGCACGCACGGGTTACATTGCATTGTCGCGGTACGTGCGCCACTGCGGGCCGCTCGCCGCCGACACCGCACTCAGGTACTGCACGCACGGGTTACATTGCATTGTCGCGGTACGTGCGCCACTGCGGGCCGCTCGCCGCCGACACCGCACTCAGGTACTGCACGCACGGGTTACATTGCATTGTCGCGGTACGTGCGCCACTGCGGGCCGCTCGCCGCCGACACCGCACTCAGGTACTGCACGCACGGGTTACATTGCATTGTCGCGGTACGTGCGCCACTGCGGGCCGCTCGCCGCCGACACCGCACTCAGGTACTGCACGCACGGGTTACATTGCATTGTCGCGTACGTGCGCCACTGCGGGCCGCTCGCCGCCGACACCGCACTCAGGTACTGCACGCACGGGTTACATTGCATTGTCGCGGTACGTGCGCCACTGCGGGCCGCTCGCCGCCGACACCGCACTCAGGTACTGCACGCACGGGTTACATTGCATTGTCGCGGTACGTGCGCCACTGCGGCCGCTCGCCGCCGACACCGCACTCAGGTACTGCACGCACGGGTTACATTGCATTGTCGCGGTACGTGCGCCACTGCGGGCCGCTCGCCGCCGACACCGCACTCAGGTACTGCACGCACGGGTTACATTGCATTGTCGCGGTACGTGCGCCACTGCGGGCCGCTCGCCGCCGACACCGCACTCAGGTACTGCACGCACGGGTTACATTGCATTGTCGCGGTACGTGCGCCACTGCGGGCCGCTCGCCGCCGACACCGCACTCAGGTACTGCACGCACGGGTTACATTGCATTGTCGCGGTACGTGCGCCACTGCGGGCCGCTCGCCGCCGACAACCGCACTCAGGTACTGCACGCACGGGTTACATTGCATTGTCGCGGTACGTGCGCCACTGCGGGCCGCTCGCCGCCGACACCGCACTCAGGTACTGCACGCACGGGTTACATTGCATTGTCGCGGTACGTGCGCCACTGCGGGCCGCTCGCCGCCGACACCGCACTCAGGTACTGCACGCACGGGTTACATTGCATTGTCGCGGTACGTGCGCCACTGCGGGCCGCTCGCCGCCGACACCGCACTCAGGTACTGCACGCACGGGTTACATTGCATTGTCGCGGTACGTGCGCCACTGCGGGCCGCTCGCCGCCGACACCGCACTCAGGTACTGCACGCACGGGTTACATGCATTGTCGCGGTACGTGCGCCACTGCGGGCCGCTCGCCGCCGACACCGCACTCAGGTACTGCACGCACGGGTTACATTGCATTGTCGCGGTACGTGCGCCACTGCGGGCCGCTCGCCGCCGACACCGCACTCAGGTACTGCACGCACGGGTTACATTGCATTGTCGCGGTACGTGCGCCACTGCGGGCCGCTCGCCGCCGACACCGCACTCAGGTACTGCACGCACGGGTTAATTGCATTGTCGCGGTACGTGCGCCACTGCGGGCCGCTCGCCGCCGACACCGCACTCAGGTACTGCACGCACGGGTTACATTGCATTGTCGCGGTACGTGCGCCACTGCGGGCCGCTCGCCGCCGACACCGCACTCAGGTACTGCACGCACGGGTTACATTGCATTGTCGCGGTACGTGCGCCACTGCGGGCCGCTCGCCGCCGACACCGCACTCAGGTACTGCACGCACGGGTTACATTGCATTGTCGCGGTACGTGCGCCACTGCGGGCCGCTCGCCGCCGACACCGCACTCAGGTACTGCACGCACGGGTTACATTGCATTGTCGCGGTACGTGCGCCACTGCGGGCCGCTCGCCGCCGACACCGCACTCAGGTACTGCACGCACGGGTTACATTGCATTGTCGCGGTACGTGCGCCACTGCGGGCCGCTCGCCGCCGACACCGCACTCAGGTACTGCACGCACGGGTTACATTGCATTGTCGCGGTACGTGCGCCACTGCGGGCCGCTCGCCGCCGACACCGCACTCAGGTACTGCATGCACGGGTTACATTGCATTGTCGCGGTACGTGCGCCACTGCGGGCCGCTCGCCGCCGACACCGCACTCAGGTACTGCATGCACGGGTTACATTGCATTGTCGCGGTACGTGCGCCACTGCGGGCCGCTCGCCGCCGACACCGCACTCAGGTACTGCATGCACGGGTTACATTGCATTGTCGCGGTACGTGCGCCACTGCGGGCCGCTCGCCGCCGACACCGCACTCAGGTACTGCATGCACGGGTTACATTGCATTGTCGCGGTACGTGCGCCACTGCGGGCCGCTCGCCGCCGACACCGCACTCAGGTACTGCATGCACGGGTTACATTGCATTGTCGCGGTACGTGCGCCACTGCGGGCCGCTCGCCGCCGACACCGCACTCAGGTACTGCATGCACGGGTTACATTGCATTGTCGCGGTACGTGCGCCACTGCGGGCCGCTCGCCGCCGACACCGCACTCAGGTACTGCATGCACGGGTTACATTGCATTGTCGCGGTACGTGCGCCACTGCGGGCCGCTCGCCGCCGACACCGCACTCAGGTACTGCATGCACGGGTTACATTGCATTGTCGCGGTACGTGCGCCACTGCGGGCCGCTCGCCGCCGACACCGCACTCAGGTACTGCATGCACGGGTTACATTGCATTGTCGCGGTACGTGCGCCACTGCGGGCCGCTCGCCGCCGACACCGCACTCAGGTACTGCATGCACGGGTTACATTGCATTGTCGCGGTACGTGCGCCACTGCGGGCCGCTCGCCGCCGACACCGCACTCAGGTACTGCATGCACGGGTTACATTGCATTGTCGCGGTACGTGCGCCACTGCGGGCCGCTCGCCGCCGACACCGCACTCAGGTACTGCATGCACGGGTTACATTGCATTGTCGCGGTACGTGCGCCACTGCGGGCCGCTCGCCGCCGACACCGCACTCAGGTACTGCATGCACGGGTTACATTGCATTGTCGCGGTACGTGCGCCACTGCGGGCCGCTCGCCGCCGACACCGCACTCAGGTACTGCATGCACGGGTTACATTGCATTGTCGCGGTACGTGCGCCACTGCGGGCCGCTCGCCGCCGACACCGCACTCAGGTACTGCATGCACGGGTTACATTGCATTGTCGCGGTACGTGCGCCACTGCGGGCCGCTCGCCGCCGACACCGCACTCAGGTACTGCATGCACGGGTTACATTGCATTGTCGCGGTACGTGCGCCACTGCGGGCCGCTCGCCGCCGACACCGCACTCAGGTACTGCACGCACGGGTTACATTGCATTGTCGCGGTACGTGCGCCACTGCGGGCCGCTCGCCGCCGACACCGCACTCAGGTACTGCACGCACGGGTTACATTGCATTGTCGCGGTACGTGCGCCACTGCGGGCCGCTCGCCGCCGACACCGCACTCAGGTACTGCACGCACGGGTTACATTGCATTGTCGCGGTACGTGCGCCACTGCGGGCCGCTCGCCGCCGACACCGCACTCAGGTACTGCACGCACGGGTTACATTGCATTGTCGCGGTACGTGCGCCACTGCGGGCCGCTCGCCGCCGACACCGCACTCAGGTACTGCACGCACGGGTTACATTGCATTGTCGCGGTACGTGCGCCACTGCGGGCCGCTCGCCGCCGACACCGCACTCAGGTACTGCACGCACGGGTTACATTGCATTGTCGCGGTACGTGCGCCACTGCGGGCCGCTCGCCGCCGACACCGCACTCAGGTACTGCACGCACGGGTTACATTGCATTGTCGCGGTACGTGCGCCACTGCGGGCCGCTCGCCGCCGACACCGCACTCAGGTACTGCACGCACGGGTTACATTGCATTGTCGCGGTACGTGCGCCACTGCGGGCCGCTCGCCGCCGACACCGCACTCAGGTACTGCACGCACGGGTTACATTGCATTGTCGCGGTACGTGCGCCACTGCGGGCTGCTCGCCGCCGACACCGCACTCAGGTACTGCACGCACGGGTTACATTGCATTGTCGCGGTACGTGCGCCACTGCGGGCCGCTCGCCGCCGACACCGCACTCAGGTACTGCACGCACGGGTTACATTGCATTGTCGCGGTACGTGCGCCACTGCGGGCCGCTCGCCGCCGACACCGCACTCAGGTACTGCACGCACGGGTTACATTGCATTGTCGCGGTACGTGCGCCACTGCGGGCCGCTCGCCGCCGACACCGCACTCAGGTACTGCACGCACGGGTTACATTGCATTACGCATTAGGCATTGGGAATATTAAACCAATTCTAACTTCTAGAAACCAATTACAACGTACAGTTTTTATGAAAATATCACAATGGGAGTTACCGTTTTTGGTCTAGATGGCGCTAAAGTACAACTCTATTTTTTCACACACACATTTACATTTTGTTACACTAGTGACCTCAACTAGTGTCATGTGGTGTTTGAAAAAAATTCTAGCCCCCATGACTAACTGCTACTATGCGTGATCAAGGACACAAATATTAAGTTAAGATTATTATATTTTCAGTAAGGACAGCTGCAAGTCACAGAGCAAGGCGGACAGCGGAGATCCCAACGTACCTGATGTAGGAGTACTCAAGGTAACGATAAAAACATTATCTATTTCCCCGCAATCTATTTGATTGCACGGTTGGTGCGGTGGCTGGGCAACCGGCTGCCGTGCAACGTGTCGCGGGTTCGGTTCCCGCACGGAACAACACTTTGTGTGATCCACAAACTGTTGTTTCGGGTCTGGGTGTCATGTGTATGTGAACTTGTATGTTTGTAAACGCACCCACGACACAGGAGATAATCGTGAAGTGGGGCAATGTTTTTTTTAAAAAAAAAATCTTTTACTTGCTACAAATTATACACGTATCGCTTCTTCTTTTCTTGATTAAGAAATAGGTAAAAATAATATTTGCTGATCAAGTGTCATCAAAGCCAAGATCAACTCGATGAGTATTAAGAGCGTTGACGCCTCGCGCGTGTCGTCGAGTTTACATTTTGAACACAATGTTGTCGCACCAGGCCGCGCGCCTGCCTAGCGGTAACCGGTTCCTATCCCGTGACAGTCGGACGAACGGTTTTGAACTTTTGATCCATTAGAATGTTACTATAATAGGTTTACATTAAATAAATTCTTCACTACATAGTATAAAACAAAGTCGCTTTCGACGTCTGTCTGTCCCTATGTATGCTTAGATCTTTAAAACTATGCTATGAATTTTGATGCGGTCTTTTTTGATAGTCAAAGTCAAAGTCAAAATCATTTATTTCAATTAGGCCAGAATGGCACTTTTGAACGTCAACAAAAACAAAAATTTAAAGTGAAGCTATTTGCTCATTCCAAGGCGTAGATTCCTATGGAGAAGAACGAGCAAGAAACTCCATAGGTTACTCTTTTTCAATCAGGTTCACAATACAATTTACTAGTTACATAGTTTTGCTGTTTGGATTGTGCGAGAACAATGTAACACTAAAATCCAGTCAAAGTGATCAAAAAAGAAAATAACCTTAAGGACAGTAATACAGTCTGGAGCTGACCAGTCCCAGTTGACGGCGCCCGTTCACGAACATGACACGTACACCAGCACCGCCCAACTCAACCATATTGTAGGGAATCGAGCGATCCACTGCACGCGCCACCGCCAATGAGACCTTTGAGTGAGCATGACAACTCCAAGCTGACACAAATGAAATCTACTAATCTAATTTAATATTAAGTTAATTACAGGGCTCTCACATTTACAATGGTTATCTAAGTTAAACAATATACAATTTAGCAATATGGCTGTATTATTTACGATTTCATTAAAACAAGTGTTTTTAGTTATCCTGTGGAGCCGGACTAGCCTGCATCCAAGCATTTTTATCCTCTATATATTCATTAAGTTTGTAATATGCTTGTCTACATAAAGTTTTCTTTATACATAATTTAAATTTCGATTCATTTAGTTGTTGTACATCGCCTGGTATCTTATTATAACATTATAGATAGACAGAGTGATTCTTTAGGAAGGTTTATATCTATACTAATATTAAAAAGCTGAAGAGTTAGTTTGTTTGAACGCGCTAATCTCCGAAACTATTGGTCCGATTTGAAAAATTCTTTCTTTGTTGGATAGCCCATTTATCGAGGAAAGCTAAAGTATCACGCTACGATTAATAGGCGCCGAGCAGAGCTAGTGCAACCGCGCGGAAGTAGCTAGTGTATAATATATGCATACCGCATACGTGCGAAGCCGGGGGGGGGGGTCGCTAGTTACTAATAAAGTTCAGTGAGTGTTTATTAAAATTATACATTAATTAATCCATTTGTAAATAAGAAACTTTGGTTTTATAAAATTAAATTATTTATGTGTATTTAATTACGTTTATTATGTATTATTTATGTAGGTACATGATTTTATATGGCCAGTGGTATAAAATAAATAAAAAAAATGTTCTAGTAAAAAAAACAGTAACTCGTGTTTCTTAATGGCATGAATCTGGATTTTTGCTGGAGACAAGTTCCAAGTTCCTTGAATTTACATATAGGTAGACAGTACCATCGGTTTTACCACCCTCGAAAACCAAGAAAACGACACCCATCACGATAAGTTCCAAGTTTCATGCAGCCGCCATCTTGAATTTACATTTTGACAGTACCATCGGTTTTACCACACTCGAAAACCACTAAAACGACACCCATTACGATAAGTTCCAAGTTTCATGCAGCCGCCATCTTGAATTTACAATTTGACAGTACCATCGGTTTTACCACACTCGAAAACCACTTAAACCACACCCATTACGATAAGTTCCAAATTTCATGCAGCCGCCATCTTGGATTTACATTTTGACAGTACCATCGGTTTTACTATCCTCGAAAACCACTAAAACGACACCCATTACGATAAGTTCCGAATTTCATGCAGCCGCCATCTTGGATTTACATTTTGACAGTACCATCGGTTTTACTACCCTCAAAAACCACCAAAACGACACCCATTACAATAAGTTCCAAATTTCATGCAGCCGCCATCTTGGATTTACATTTTGACAGTACCATCGGTTTTACTATCCTCGAAAACCACTAAAACGACACCCATTACGATAAGTTCCAAATTTCATGCAGCCGCCATCTTGAATTTACATTTTGACAGTACCATCGGTTTTACCACCCTCGAAAACCAAGAAAACGACACCCATGATGATAAGTTCCAAATTTCATGCAGCTGCCATCTTGAACTTACATTTGGACAATACCATTGGTTTTACCACCATTGAAAATCACGAAAGCGATTGTTTTGACGAATTGTTAATAGAGCCGCCATCTTGAATTTTTTTTTGACATCATCATCGGTTTTATCACCCTCGAATACCAAAACAACTTCCATGATAAAAAGTTAAAATTGTCGCGCAGCCAACTTCTTCGATATAAGTCATTTCTTATTTAAGGATATTTACTGTTGGTAACATTTTTTGTTAATTAGTTTTATTTGTGTTTTTTTTATATTTAACTTGGAATATAAAAAAATGCTTTAAGTAAATTACGGAAACCTCTGTTATTTTGATGTATTGCACGAATACTGTCTAAATACAGGGTCTTTCAACAAGGACGGGCCGATGTTAAAATTGAATAAAACAAGATGTGTGTAAGATATTAACCAATTATTTTTTTTATTTGAAAGTTCCATTTATGCCATTATGGATGGAATATGACATCGTTCAAATGTCCGCCGCGGCTTCGTATGGTGGCACGAATCCGAGAGGTCCAATTTTTAATGACTCTGCTGCATAGATCCGGCTGAATCTGAGCGATGGCCTGTGTTATGTTGGCTTTCAGGGCAACGGTGGATTGTGGTTTATTGGCATAGACTTGCGACTTCAGAAAACCCCACAAGAAAAAGTCTAGCGGAGTCAAATCACACGATCTTGGTGGCCAATTCACGTCACCTCTGCGAGAGATAACCCTACCTTCAAACCGTTCATGCAGAATGTCCATTGTGTCGTTCGCTGTGTGGCAAGTAGCGCCATCTTGCTGGAACCACATGTCGTTCACGTCCATATTGTTCAATTTAAGCAAAAAAAAATTGTTTATCATTGATCTGTAGCGCTCACCGTTGACGGTAATGGCCTCGCCAACGTCGTTTTCGAAAAAGTACGGACCAATGACGCCGCCAGACCAAAATCCGCACCAAACTGTAATTTTTTGTGGATGTATTGCCACCTGGTGAACCTCATGTGGATTATGGTCATCCCATATACGGCAATTTTGCTTGTTAACAAAACCATTCATCCAAAAATGTGCCTCGTCGCTAAAGATAATTTTTCGACCAAAATCGGGGTCCTCTTCCAAGCGTTCCGAAGCCCATTCAGCGAACACACGGCGTTGTTTATGGTCATCAACTTTGAGCTCTTGGGTCAGTTGGATCTTGTACGGATGCAGACCCAAGTCCTGACGCAAAATTCTCCAAGTTGAAGTCTGCGAAAGGCCGAGTTCTTGGGCACGGCGAGAAATCGACTGCCTCGGAGTCTCTTGAACACTCTCACGTACAGCGGCGATGTTCTCGGCCGATCTGGCGTTCCTTTGACGTAAAGGTGTCGGTTGGTTGTTTACTGAACCGGTCGTCTCAAATTTAGTCGCCAATCGTTGGAGAGTAGACTTTGAAGGGCCACCGCGTCTGCCGTAAAATGGGCGCAATGCGCGCAACGTTTGCACTACCGAACACTCATTTTGATAATAAAGTTTTATCATTTGCACATGCTGCTCAACCGTGTAACTTGCCATGGTGATTTGGCATCAGCAGCTGAATAAGAAAAATCAGATTTGACAGATGCCGCCAAAACAAAATGGCCACCACAGATTATTAACATCGACCCGCTCTATTTAAAAGACCCATTATAAAAAAGTACATAAGCCTTGCCCTAGATTAGGGAAATCCTTAAACTTATTGGTAATATTATCGTCAAAACGCGCTTGAAATATGCAGTTTTTTGGACGGCGTTAATGCTCTTAATTAAACTTGAGCATACCGAACCATTTTATTCATTGAGCACACTGAACCATTTTATTACAGATAATTAAATCTGAGATTGCAGTTCCTTTTAAATTTCACAATGAACGTATTGTTGCAGTCGACGTCCAACGCGACCCTCGTAGTCCCGGAGCGCGGGTGGCGGCTCGGTAAGTGCGTGTCGGCGTCCCACATAGTGGGCGGCGCGGGCCGGCCGGCGGGCGGCGGGCTGGCGGCGGGCGGCGCGCCGCGGCCCGCGCTGTGTCGCAGCCAGGGCTCGCTGCACACCGCCGGGTACATACTGCACGCGCACGGGAACACTATCAACATCACCAAGGTACGTACATATCTCAGCAACTGTGGTTCAAAAGTTTACTACATAAACATTTCATCAGCCTTCAATATTTTTGACATTCTAAGAATTCTACAATCAAAGCGAAATTATCGATGAATATACATAAAAATTTGTATAAATATAGTAATTGGCTATTTGACTGTTGTTACAATGAAATATAAAATATGTTGTTTACGGTAGCTTTTAAGAAAACAATAACCATTTGAGATTTTTTTATCTGTGGATAATGAACAAAACAAACAAAAACAAAACGTATGACGTCACATTTCAATAAACAAATAGTTTCCCATCTTTGATCTCTGAAAATAATACGTATTTTTTCTATTCAATTTGACTCTATTTCAATTTTTTTAGAAGTTTAAGAAAATAGAGTCAGGCATACATAAAAGCATAGTAGGATAGTTCAAATCTACCTAAAGTTGATTCATTTTTGGTCGCAAACTTTGCATGTAATCCTGACTTTTGTTCTGCAGAGTTTCGGAAAAACTTTCGTGTAACAATAAAATACATCAATTCTATAAGACTTTTCTGATAAAATTATAACTGTAAGGGGGTTTTAAATGAAAATACGTTAACTTTACAACATTTCCCCGAAAAATGTCAAGTAGCCAATTCTTGCTACTTTTTACATGTTGTCGTTTCGTAATACGCGCTTTCGAGTCACCCATGAGCACAAAGGACTCATCATTTATTACGATACATTTACAAAACAACAACACTTTAGATTCGAGTGTGAATTTTACTTACTATGTAACATAACATCACGCCTTTTATCCCCGAAGGGGTAGGCAGAGGTGCACACAGAAGTAACACCCACTTTTCACTATTTATGTTATGAGTCCCATGGGATATGGGGTGAGCCTATTGCCATATATCGGGCTCATTTCCAGACTCCGTACTAATACTGAGACTTTTACTGAACCTAACCTAACCCCTAATTCCTCTTCTCCAGGTTGATGACATTACCAAATGGTTGGACCCACCACCCCTCAAGCGAACGTCCCCAGACTCCCACCTCAACAGACTACAGGAACACAAGGCCAGGAAGGTGGAACAACCAGACGACTACCACGAACATCTCCCCGCGTTCCTCCGCAACCAGTCTGTCGAGGAACTAGAATCACACTACAAACTAGAGGTAAATCCCCCATTACCCTTCTGCAGACACATCAGTATCCCCAACAGTTCCACCGTCCCCAACAACGAGGACTCGGACTCCTCAGACGATGATGACCAGATCAGTACTTGGGAACGAAACGTCAAGATCTTTGACCAGATGGAGGTAGACCCCAAAAACGTCATCGCCAACCTCGTGAAGAAAGGAGAGACCTTGCTCTCGAAGAAAGCGAGCTATGACGTAACTGATGTTGTATTGAGGAACCCTGAGTGCATGACTCACGAACGGAAGATACCTGAAGTGGATTACCGAAGATATAACATTGACTATCTCACTAAAAGCCCTATAATGGCGCAGGGAGTCAAGAATATACCTAAAGCGGTCGAGAAAGACAAGCCGCAGGAAAAGTCGGGGTTCTTCCCTAAGAAGTTGCTGTCACCAAAGTTTAGTAGACTGTTTAAACCGAACACTGCCGAGGTGGTGCGGCACAAGGACGTGGAGGACAAAGACAAATCCAGGAGCAAGTTCTTCGTACAAAGACCAGCTTCTCCTAGCAACATCGGCAGGTCACATAGAATCAGACCGTCAGACACTGACAAACCGATGCTAAACAAAGATGTTCTAAAGTCTGACATTAAACTAGCCAGCATGGGCAAACCAATGACACCAATTTTCCGACGACATTTGGGCGAGAAACCAGACTTCGCAGACGGGAGGTTCAGCTACAGGGACCGGAGATCGAAACCTAACGACGACTCGAAGTTCATAGAGTTAGGACGCAATAGGATAAAAACCCCGCTTAGTACTTTAGAAAGCACGAAATTGACCCCATTGATACGTAGTTCCCATATAAATAATATCGCGGCGTTGACTACAGTGCCTGAAAAGAAAATTGTCGATAAAAAAAAATGTGATGACTTGCCTAAGCGTCGGGAGCCAGGGATTTCACGTAGTAATTACGTCAGTCTTGCCAACTTAAAGATCAATGGTAAAGGCAAAGACGTTGATGAGAAATGTAGACAAAGAGACAATGAAGACTCCCCGGTGGAGCGAGTCATGTAGAATTCTGTCAACCGTTTGTTGTGATGGCGTGATAGTTACTTATGATGCGCGGGCGTAAAGTGGTTGAAGATGGTAATGACTTTTATTTAAGACCTTTACTATATATAAGATGTCGCGGAGAACCTAACGGGTAACCGGGGCTCCGGCTCGGCGTGCAGGAGAAGGAACAGGGTGGTTTTTAGTCAGTAAGAGTCTGAGACTCCCTCCCGCCTTACCCAGGCGGGAGCAGCCATTCGATGATTTTCCCTCTTAAAAAAAACTATATATAAGATACAGTGAAACTTGGTTAAGTGGGACCTGGATAAGTGAGAAACCTCCATAACTGGAACTCATGCTGAGGTCCCAACACTTTGGCACTGAATAACCTCTGTTAGTGGGACGAGGTAAACCTCTATATCTGGGATTTGTTCTTTCGATTTACCATCATAGTTACCTCTATAACTGAGACAGCGAGTAAATTTTATATGCATAAACCTCTGTAACTGAGATAACATTGTTTGTTTACTCATCCTTATTCTACCCACAAATTCCACACTTAATTCCAAGTCCACCTCTATTAATGGAACCCTTTGTAAATGACACAGATATTTATTTATACCTGTATATCTGAGACACTGGGTAAGTGGAATACCTCTATACGTGAAACGACATTGCAGGTCCCTTGATGTCTCACTTAACCAGGTTTCACTGTATATGTATATGACCTATAATATATAAGATAGATCTATGAGATCTTTTCCCTACCCTAAGTTCTTTCCCTAACGAATGCGTTGCCGCTATTTACTATTCAGTACAGAAATTGCTGGGCTACTGAACCAACCAATGGTTACAGAAGACGTGGCTTGGTTGAAAACGTATTTAGTCCAATAATAGCTCCTGTATTTGTACTGCGTTAATGTTTATTTTCTTTCCTATATCATACATAGCTGTGCCGCAATACTTCTTGTGTTACAAGCGTACTTATGCTACGTCGGCTTTGCTACTACTGAGAGCAATAAACAAAATTGTTCTCTGTCATAGAAGATTTTAAGTTCTTTTCACAAAAACTTCAAGCGTATAATAAAAGTCATTACCACAACTGTATCTACTTTATGTCCAGCATCGATACTTGACAAATCTTGCCCAAGTTCTACTTGTTATACAGTTGTTATAATTGTTGAATCGTTGTACTTACGAACGCTTTTCTATACGACTTTTGTGATCGCTTCGGAGTGCCGTGTTTTGACGGACAAATCGCTTCAAATTTCCACTTTATTCTACTTGAATGATACATGTAAAGCTTGTGTTTTTAGAATAGAGATGGTGACGACAAATAGTACAATTCAATACTATTTTCGAAATGTCCAAAATGACAGGTGTCTATGAATATTGTATGTAGGAAATTCCTAGTTATGACGTCATACTTTTTTGCGTCAAATACCATACTTATCTCTAGATAAAATTAAGCTAAAATTTAAATCAATGAGAGTATCGTTATATTTTAGACTAAGTCATCATCTCTATAGGTAAAATGGTTGGAAACTGTCTATTTGTGGCAATGCCTTCTAATAAGACTGTGTATAGGACCTTATGTTCTGGTAATGTAAGCAACGTAATACTGAAAAAATATCTTTTTTCATTCAGTATAATTGGGATGATTTTTTATTTTGTCATATAATAAAACAATACTTAGATAAAACGAATCAAAGTTTAGGAGTGGGGGCTAAAACGTCATTTCTACGTATAAAATGTACATAGAAGTGACGTCACGCGACATTTCAAATCAATATATCGTCGAAAGTATTCGTTTTTGTAAGAAATTAAAAATACATGTCTTTTGATTTAAAATAATCCAGACGGACATTAAAATAAAAATTAGGCATCTAACCTATTGTAAACCAACTTGAAGTATATAGAAAAATAACAAATTTAATAGTTACAAAATCGAAGATATACAATTAAAACTACCTACCCATTCTGTCCATACAAAACGTTATGTATAACATTTTGTTTTAATTAGACAAAACAATCTTGTGATTGTGACATATTAAAGTAAACTCTGTATTTTTCATACTAATTCAATAAATATATGTCCCTTTGCTTACATTATCAGAAGCTCAAACAAAAAACATACAATTTTGTATTACAATATTGAAGCCATTCCATTTGATATCAAAAATATTTGTGTACTCATGCATTTATATTCCGTGACCATTTTATATAAAAAAACTATAATTAATAATATATTTTTTGTGTTAATTCAGCTTTTTGGTAGTATATATAGGGTCGATTTTTCAATCAATGGATAATTTTTATTTAACGTTTGAAAAATTTTACATTGTTCCCGTGATAAAGTTACCTGGCGTCGGAAAAATCAGCCCTTAAAGTACCTCGTTGTTCTCCAGCCAAATATAAAAATGTTTGTATATTATTGATATTATAATATGTACTTCATGATATAATGTCAATTCGTGGGAATTATTGAATTTGCCTAATATATGCTGATGTATATAGTATATACTATTATTATGATATTGTATTTGTAACTTTGACATTATTTTGCGAGGATTTATCCGCAAATTACGTCACTTAAGATTGGACAAACAAAAAGAAATGAGGTTTAACGTAATGTGAATCTGTGTATGCCATATTCTGTTTTTATATTTATTATTTATATTGTTAAAATCGTGGATATATAATTAAATATATCTTTATATATGAATCCAGAACATGAATGTTTTGAAAAAGACAAATAATAAAAAATGTTGTGACGTAATTTATAGATAACACAAAGGAAATTGCTTTCAACTTTCCGAATTTACTACGTATATTGTATAGTATTTGATATATTGAACTCTATTCCCTATTCTATAAGGTGCTTTGTTAAATGTGTTGCGAATTTGAAATCAAGTTTCGAAATTTAAACGTTTGTACTATAAATTATTATAAAATTGAATCAGTATTTGCTTCAACGTTCAGAGTCGAAATGGACTTTAGCTTGGAGTCTTTAAGATTCAAATTGCAACGCAGTTAGCTTCACGCATTTGTTATAGTGTGTTAAACAGTTATATGGAAATATACACAAGTTGTTTTCTATACATATACGTATGTAGTAGTTATATTTGTAACGTTTTTATATTGTAGACAAAATATTACGATTATTTCAAATTATTAGGGAATTAATGGAGGTATTTCAGGTGTTGGAATTTGATTTTTGGGTCGATCCAAAAATCGTTTTACTCGAGTAAAAAAGTTGTTGGGTCCGTATGTGTTGTATGTTACAGAGCTCCATGTTAAACAATAATATTTAGTGAAATCTGGTTAAGATTCAGTGCCAATATAAAAACGATAAATATTTTGAAATAATATAAATTCTCAATCATTTCTTCATCTCACTGTCTTTATAGAAAGTATATAATGATTTATCTATAGCAAAAATGTTCCAGTAAATTCTGTCCAAGAAGTCCAGTTTAAAAAAGTTTTGACAAATACTTATTATTGTTATACGTTATCTGTGCCATTCATATGTCAATATTAATGTTTTTAGTAAAACAGTATGTACATTTAGTCGACAAAATAAAGTTGATTTGATTTTATTTTCATAGATCTTCACTACATCTAAATTAATAAAAATAATAAGGCTTACACACGTACACTATTCGAGAAGTGCTCTACTAGTTTCCAGTCACACGGGGACTCTTATCGTTGAGCAGCATGCGGGGCTTGAAACTGGTACTGTTACTCAAAAAGTTAACGTGATTAAGTTATAGTAGTATACATTTATGAAAATATCTCGCGTAAGTAGATAAAAGAAATCATCCAAACAAACAAAGCCACGACATTAGCATTAAGTTATTTGACAATATAGTAACTATATTAATTTATTAACATTTTAGACTTAATACGTATTGTAAGATTTAGTTTATTTCTTAGATTTTGTTCGTGAAGTCTGATTTGTAGTGACACAGGGTGCCATTTTATTGTTTAACGTTAAATAATGCTGTGATTGGACGGGCGAGGATTTATTTCTCCTTTTTAAAAGCATAACTACACCTTTGCCCATCCCCTTAGGGAATGAAAGGTGCTAAGTTTATGTTTCTGTTTATCCAAAATGTTTGTTAAAAGTCCAGATTTTCATTGTGAATCTGAATGGTATCTTCTTTGTGGTGTAGTGTATTGCCAGTCTCGAAATGTCTTACGCGATTATTTTAGTCTGGCAATATAAACTTTAATGCGAGTTTCAATCACAGCATTGTCTATGAATTAACTTGAATCTGAAAAAAATGTCTCATTTTTATTTTATGTTTATTATCTGTGAACGTCAGATATTAGATCGAGCTCATGTTTTCCTTATCTGTGATACATTATGTTTGTAAACGCCGCAATAACAAGTATTATAGGTGTCTTTAGATTTTATTTCTGAATTTTTAATTTTAATATAAAAAAAAATTGAACGCCATGCTCGTCTTACGATTTTTTGTGAGAATTATTTTAAATAGTTTTTTGTCGTCGTGAGAAGTGAATGGTGTTCGACTTATAAATATTATTGTATTTTTATTTAACACTTATTAACCAATTACTGACGTAACATCGAGTATTCCGTCTCCTGCATTCCAAGCGGTTTTGTAAAATTTCTTTTGTATCTGTTTCTAAGTACAAATGAATAAAGGATTATATTCAGAGTTTGTGTTCATTGTTATTTATCCCCTAATGCTGTCATTTCAGTAGATAACGAACACATAACATCATATCACGCCTTTTATCCCCGAAGGGGTAGGCAGAGGTGCACTTTACGGCAATTAACTCGTCGAGTACCGGTTTTATAGACACAATTAAAGAACAATAGGTCGCGGTCACCGGTGACCGCTTGGTGTTTGACAGTTTAATGCCACTATGAAATGTGAAATGCAACACCCAATTTTTACTATTTATGTTATGAGTCCCATGTAATAGGGGGTGAGCCTATTGCCATATACCCGGGCACATTTCCAGACTCCATGCTACTACTGAGAATTACTTCA